AAAGAAGTCGGCACACTTATTGCTTTAAAAGTTGTCGCCAGAACATGAATGTTTAAAAATAAGAGAAACAAAGTTAGTCTTTGTACACTGACCACCGAGTGAATTTTACGTCGCACAACCTTTTCTCTTTTTATCCGGCGAAGTTGGGAACTCCAGCATCCGTTTTCTATCCTATTTTAAGTTTTTTTATTCCTTGCTTGTAACGTTATTTGGATACTAATATGAATTGTAGGGGAGACCACGAGGGAAGTATTATTCTCTTGAGTTCTTAAATTCTCTTTAAAGACGGTTTTCCTTCTGCTTAAATTATTATAATCAAAGATTTATGTCAAGTTACATATTACATAAAGGCAATAAGTATAATTTACCTATGGATTCTAATAATGAATAATATAAATAATTTATTTACAAAGTTCAGTGTGTTCCAATTTTTATTAGAGCGGTACTAATTTCAGTGAGGTTTTTGTAAATAATTTTCACCTTAGTATAATTTAAAACAAAGTTCAAAATAAACTTTCTTATTAAAAACTCTGCTTTTGTCGAAATCAGTACTAGCAAGAATTTTAGAAATGACTTTCCTTATTTAGTTAAATAAAAACACTTTTAATGTTTAGAACGCGAAATATATTAGCTATCGTATTTTAATTTTATTTCACTGCGGCCCGGCATTTCGGATGATTTGCCTAAGTTGAATTAAATTAAAAATAAGTTTATATTTCCGTGTTAAAAGAGTTATTATTCGAACGTGTGGTACTCGCATAAAGTACAGAGTCCATATTTATGTTTAAAAACTTTAGCACCACTTTTAATCGCTCTATTCCATGCGGCTATAGAATCGCAGTGAATCTTCGCCGTTTCGAGCCAATCTCGATTACGTAAATACAAGAAATTCCAGCCCATTATTAATTAGTCCGTCGTTAAAGACATCTGACAATGGCGTAATACTGCGTCGCACGTGTGGCTCATTACCTCATACTATAAAATTCAATTACTACATTAATGCGAGGATATATTGATCGCTGTGTGCACAGTTTTCAATGTTTAAATAAAGAAAATATGAAATGGCTGCTAGGCCGCTGCCTGATTAGACTTTGTCTCTATGCGAGAAGTTCAGAACCCGTTCGTAGCAACTGAAACGCGAAGGCGGTAGTTTTTCAATAGAGATATCGCTGAAACCAATACTCTTTTATTATGTAATGCTATTTCTTTAAAATTACATATAATATTTTTTGAGAACTTTTATTTAATAAGCACGAGTAAATTGTGACTGACTAAAAATTACAGTTATATGTATCCAATTTAAAGAATAAAACATCACTAAGCTTCAAGTACTTATGAAACACAATGTATAAGATTTCCATTTTTCTAGACGCATTTTGTTATGTCAATGATAAGATAGATGTCTTCAAATATGTTCTTAATTTTTTTAATGTTTTGAATAGAAATATAATTGATTAAATGGTACCGCTAACATTAAATATAATCGAAATATACAGATATGTGCAAATTGTTCTCCATCGGAACGTCTAATCTGTCTTCGCAGAAGTAATATTTTATTTTACATATAATAATTCTGCGTATGCATATATTTTAGGATTCTCGGAATTTTAGGAATGATGTTGTGTTTTTATACATTTCGCTTAACATAAAAACTGAAAACAAGTATCAAGCGTTTCCTTAGTGTATTTCTGTGCTGAAAAAAAATATATAAACACAAGTAACAAGTACTGCACTCGGAAACAATCAAAATGCGAGGGAAACGTAATCGCGGCATAACGAAAAATATGGAAAGCATATTAAGTGTCATTCAACTAACAAACTGAACAAAAACCGCGTCATCTCATTTATTCGCCTTACACGCGAAAATAGCCTCTATTGCGTTGTAATAGGAGCTACTTGAAATTAGAAAACGTCTTCATTTCAGAGCACTACGAGATTACGTGTTGTTGTATTGTGAACCCTGTTCCTTTGAAATAGAGGTGGACAGCAATGTATGTGTATATTTGTGTAATGTATAAAGATGAATGATCTTTCGCGCTAGGTGGTCCCTGACAGACAGATGCTCCTTTAAACCATACATCACACTTTGCGTATTTTTCCTCTTTGGATTTTCAACGACTCGAGGCATATAAAATCATCATCATTATTATATAAAGAAAAAATGTTAAATAAGATTTAAAAAGATCGTTCCTGATTTCTACAGCCTGGAATAGTTTTTTTTGGCATTAAATTTATTTTGCAAACCTCATCTTTTAAAATTAAAGCTGTTACCCATGACGGTGTCCGCATGCCATCGTTCTTGGAAGTCATCTTAAAAGGTGACATATTGAACCGTGATGAAAAAACTAAACGCTTTATATTGTATTACGAATTTTAAACATTTTTTTAAGAGTGTTAATTAAAAAAGCTTATGCAGCCATAGAAAGTCTATAAGGCTTTTAAAACCCACCTTAATTAATTAATTTATATTCCTGGAATAAAGTATGAGTATATTCCCGATATACACACAAAAGACACTCGAATATAACTGAAGCATAAATTAAAAATCGATTATAGATTGAAAAAAATGTATGACACGGGCTGGTCTGACATCCAACCGACATCCACAGGGTTCCGTACTGTTGCTCTAATGTTGAGCTACCGTAAATATACTATCACTAATCATTGTGTAATTTTACACATGACAGAACAGCTTAATCCATAGCCAATATGTGTAACGAAAGACATCCCCTAGCTTATGAGCATAAGTCAAGTACTCCCTACTCCCTTAAGGGCTGTTCGCAAAATGGAAGGCCATACATTGAGGCTTAATAGTCGATACGTTGTTGATCTTAGGGCCTACGCATAACGCTGTGACGTGTTCAAGATCCCGATATATTTTACGTATTTGAAGCTATAAAATATTAAATTCATATATACAAGTATGGTTTAAATATTAAATTATTATTGGTAAATATATATACATATAAAACGTTCGGTTTAACGGGTTAAAACGCGTTAATTTTTTTTTTATTTCATTTAATTACGGTCTTGTGGTGAAAAGTGTAATTTTAAATTATGTTATATTTTATGGAGGCGTTATGCTAAAAATCAATTGGTTTTACAGTTATCATGAAATTATCATTAGTGAAAATCTATTTTTCAAGTTGAACTTTAGTTTTCGGTATCAGTAAACTAATGACATTTTCCTATTGGATTCATCTAATAAGCCAGCAAGCACAAACTAATAATTTGTACTTTTGACACTCTGGAATTAAAAACAACGACTAAGCAAATTTCAGGTTTACCGCGATGTGTATGGTTTATTTAATTTTCACTTCTTCATTTCTTTTTTGCGCCAATATTTGTTTTCGTTCCTAGCCGTACCGTATGCGTCTGTATACAATTTACGTTATAATGGCACAATGCTGTGAACCCCGTTCTCCTCTTCTACATTGTTCATAACAAAACCACACCCAGACATAACCATTAAAATTTTAGCACCTCACGAAGCGTAAAGTCCTAACAAGGTCGGAACAAATTCAAGTTATGGTTATAATTATGTTCAACGTTTATGGAAGCCGATGAGGAAGTCAAATGGGCCCCACACTGCGTTTCACTTGACAACTGTATTAAAGGGCTCGCTTGCATTGAACAATTTAAGCTCTCGTTAATCCACCGACTGTTCAACCGCTGGTTGGTGTCTACGTATTGTGTTGCTTTTTACATGTTGAGCTAACCAGATTTACGCTTATTTAATTACATAAATCTTCTTCGTAGTGCTTTAAGTAAATTTACTTATTCAGACGGTAAAATGGGCGAGTCTGAAAATTTATTGTTTTTCCCTGCACAATATATAATCTATTTAGATTAAATGATTTGATAACATATGCGGGACTTAAACCGACTTCCACATTGCGTGAGACGTGCATCTTTACGACTAAATGTTGAACAAATTCCACTACACGGGAGCTCAATTAGAGTTAGAGTACTGTGTATTTTTTTTTTAATTTTATAATACCAAAACTTAATATAGAAACAAAAACAATCATTGATATTATTATGTTGTTTGCAGCATGATCTAATAAAATGTGCCTTTAGTCGTGCTAAATAACCAATCGGAGCCGTCAAATTTCATAGCCGGCCATTAGCGATCGTAACTTGCGCTGACGTTAATTTAGCTCGGTTTATATTAATCTAGACTACATTTCACACTTCTAACCACTCGAACAACTAACTACTCCTAATCGATTAGGTCTCGAGCTTACTCGGCTACACTGTGCGGTGATTAAACTACGATTAATCCTTAACCGCTCTCGGTGCCAGCGGTCCTCGCTAACAATTTATCTTTCGCGTACGCTTGAATTTGACGCACGTAACAAAAGCCATCATTTGTTATGCTAAGTTACAGTGACGCTGACGGTTTTAACTTCATACACTAATTGAGTGGTTCAATGACCTATAGATCTTTTTTCGCTTTACTAATTGGCGTCTAAATGCGGATCGGTGTTGGCGTTTTCGTAATTGTTAGCGTGACATGAGCAATGCTAGAATCGATTGCGATGTTAATATTTCATACTTCATAATATTTAGTTTTTTACGTAACCAATAGTGAGGCCGAGCGTATGTAGTACTTCTCAATTACTACATACGTTTAGTTTTTAAATAATGAAACATTATATTTAAATGTCTTTGTAGTCATTAAAAGTAGGATATTAGCTTATAATCGCCTCAATAACGGTACTCTAGTGCAATGCGGCAAAATGTTTATCAAAGGCAATTTCCATTCTAATTTCATGATTAGACAGCTAAGTTATTTATATTATTATGCAAAACCGATGCGTATAGTAATTGTACGTAATCAGGATATAACTAGAAGTTAGTATAATCTGTAGATAATGCAATATTGATGCTGCGACGTAATTAAGCGCGCTAAATTATATTGTACTAGTACGCACACACAGACGTGCATCGTTGCTTTCACAGTGTGTAAATCCATTCACTAGGAAATTATTGGCCAGTTAGTAATAATACAGTTTTCGATGGGATCCCGGGGCCGTTTCGTGAACCTTTTTCTTGGCGAAGTAGGCCAATACTAATTCGCCGATAAACACAATACAACAAACGAGGTGTAGCACTCCAATCAATAAAAATGCCCCCAACAAATGCTGCATGCCCAGCGGCACAATGGTACTCGTCCCTTCGCCGCCCTTCGTGCGGATAAACAGCTCTTCACTCCACTTCTTTATCAGTCCGTTCTCCGAAACACTGCGGATAATATTATTGAACCTCTCCAACAAGGGATACCATTCCCTGGCCAACAAAGCGACGCCGTACTTATATAGATTATCGCTCTCCGGGAAACAGTAAATCGACGATTCCCCTTTTCCCAACACTCGGTCCAGGTAAGTCGCCTGCCTCCTCGAAGCTACGACTGCGAAGTTTCTCTCGTAAGCCACTCGCCGGATTCCCGCCGCGAACGATGTCGAGTTATATTTGCGATACAAATAAAATGAGCTCGCGTTATTAGTCTCAAAATAGGATCGGTAAATCTCTCTGCCCCCCAGAGGAATGCCGGATCGGATGAGATCCGCCTCGTTACTTATTTGCTTCTCGAAGCGCGGGTGCATTAGGAAGCTTCTCAGGAAAGATACGTACGAAATCCCCATGTTGATGCTGAAACAGAGCCAGACGAACATCAGAATTCTAAACGTGGCCGAGCGGGCCTCGAGAGTTACGCTCCAGCCGAGCAGCATGCCGAACGATTTCAGTATCGAATCGGTCGGCCACTTCGACACTCCGCTGTTTTCCTTGTAATTCATGTAGTGCAACAGCAGACTCATGCCGAACAGACACCCAAACGTAGCCAGCCACGTCGACAGCTGAAAAATCGTCACCACGTTGTCCCAAGTGGCCGCTTTACCGGCGCGGGTAACGCACCACGTCATCTCGTCCTGCGTATAACTGACGGTTGGGTCGAACCATTTGCGAATCGTCCGTGTCACTTCGATATTACCGATGACGAGATCGACGGAATCGTTCCGTAGTAAGCTATAGGCCCCGGTCGCCGTTCCGTTGGGGTAGATCACTCCCCAATTCTCTTCTCTCTCCGACGTCCGCGTGACGAGTGTCATATTCGTAAATTGACTTATGATTTTCACGAGACTAATCTCGCCTCCTTTCTCGAACTCGTGCGCGTCGTCCCATAATTCACTTGTCAGTTTCCTCACAGGCGGCATCACGTAAGGCTCGGAGATAACGGCATACGTTAATAGGGGGCATCCTTTTAAGTCTAATGGAAACATTTCCCTTTGAACTTCTATCTGGCTTATTAGATTATCTTTACATCTGTCCAAAATGTATACATATTCACATTCGCCACCGCAATTGGTTTCGCTGTACGGATTCCAAGAGTAAGATATTATTTCGTCGTCTAATGGAGAATAAATGAGGACGATGGTTCTCAGCAACTTGGAGGCGTGTAATTCGTTTATGAATGACATTGAGAGTTTTTCATTATCTTCGTCCTGCTGTTTTTCATACAGAACGATGGTTTTTGCGAAAGGGTTCCAAGTGGGCAGCTTTCGAAGGAGCGAGATGTGATTTCGTAAGTCGAATTTGTTTTCGAGCATCATCATGTAGTTTTTTGCTTTTTCGCGGAAGTGAGAAGCGTTCGCGTGGGGTTGATACGGGGTTTTTACCATAATGGAGTACTTGATACCGTTGTGGATGGTTTGTAGCAAATACCTCTTAGTGAATTCTCTGGAATTGATAGCTATAATTACAATGCTGCCGCTCAAAGCTTTTTTCTCGACGAAATATTTTGCGGACAGTTTTAAAACGCATTCAGATATTTCATCACTTTCATCGCCATTTCCGACTGGCATTAGCATTGACTTGTCGCAAATCACAGTGTTAATTGTACTTGCCAAAGTTAGATATAGGAAATAGGTAGAAAACATTATATAATAAGCCGGCTGTTTATTATAGTCTTCTTTTCAGCAACCAATTAAGATAAATTAGTTAACAAAAGCTTAAAGCTTAGATTGAAGGAATACTAAAGTACTATTCTGATCGTGATAACTAAGATAAAGTGTAGAAATTACTGACTACGAAGGTTTTAGAAGCAAAAGATTGTCGCTCTTTAACCAACATATTTCTTGACATTTCCATATAATTGCGACTAATAAAGCCAATTTTGTTAAAAGATACAAAAGCCACCGTGAACTTTACTTTTAATTTTGAAATGTCAAGTGCCTTGTATCTTCATATTTTTGTCCTCAATTTTGTATGACCAACTCAGTTGTGTTTAAAATTAAACATCGAAAAAAGCGCCTGGTTTAAAGGAGATTCACGTAGATTCAAAAGCAGTTTTTAATTACCAAGATAACGTAACGTAAAGCAGTATTATTTTTATACGTCGGGTCGTAGTTATAATAAAAAATAAGTAAAATATTTCGCATGTACTTACCATTGAAGTACAATAAATTTTAATAAGTCGGTAACTGTTCTTCACGAAACCAAACCACGCGGAATAATTTCATAAATAAAGTAATATTGTCAAACTTTCACAGCCGTCTCACTTCGGCTAATCAAACAACCCGCCGATAAAATCGGACGCTGTTCTTATTAAAATTTATCTTTTTTTATGTAGGTAGCGTATCTTTATGAATTAAATAGATAATGAATTTTAATACTTATTAAATGACACTATTTAACCATGCAACATCATGCATCTTGCACTAGCTGTGTCAGCGACTTCCTCGGCGTAGAACAGTAATTTTGTGCATCCAAATCTTAATCTTTCATCTTAATCTAAACTTGTAATCTTCATAAATTTAAGCTATTTCCCACGAGGTCAGACACGGCCTGTCGTTCTTGGAAGTTAATCTTAATAATTTTGCCTTTTTTTTCACATTTCCCGCTGTATTTTCACTCCTAATAGTCAAAGCCTTCCTTCATAAATTCTCTAACCAACACAAAAACAATATTTTAAATCGAAACAGTAGTTCCCGAGATTAGCGCGTTGAAACAAACAAACTCTTCAGCTTTATATATTAGTACAGATTTCTCTTGATTACGTTTCCCTGTGGATATGTGTGTGTACTATGTTTATTTTGTGTTCACAGTGTAGCATAGGTTATTGAAAGTATTTTCTAGGCGGTCGCAGTGTAGCATAGCTTTCGTATGCAATGGTAAAAATCGAATTTATAATCTCTATAAATGTGAAGGTTGAAACACTGTTTATGTCAATAAAACAACAAACGATGTAAATTACATTGTATTATTATTGAAAATCTGATCGCATTCATGTTGAACAAAACTTGGTCCGACCGAAGTCGTCTATAAACTGTACAATAACTTGGATTGAACAAACACAATATTACTATCGTAAATTTCCGAAGCAAATTTATTTGATCGTGGCGTCAATTAAATTTCCTTCTAACGCCGAACGCTACAACATAATTAAATTCGATACAAATTGCTAACACATTAATTTTTAGATACTAAAATTGACAGACAAATAAATTTTACTAACATTTTGTGCCGTAAAACGAGTGTGGCATTACAGTATTTTATTAATTACCGCTTAATTATATTAACTATATACAATAAAACCTAGAACCTGTGCTTCATAACAATCTATATAAATATGACATTCCTTTTAAAGCTAATCGAGTTATTTGGAAAGAGGAAAACGGGACGGTGGATGGAATATTAAATTTTAAGCATTTAAGTACTTTGGAGAGATAGGATTGCACACAGAAGCTAAGAGGATAAGGGTTCGTAACGAGTATTTATTAAATTTTGAATTTCAAAATATCGATTTACTTATATTGTAATTAATGGAATAAATTGTAAATACGGAATTTGTAAATGCGTCTTTATCGTGAATGCCAATAAGGAACAGAAGAGGGAGAAGAATGGTACCTTGCGGCACACCAAAACCTTTCACACCCTATTTGAAAAACATTACCGCTGAACACTTAGGTAATTTAATTTATGTATAGCTTTATTTACTCGTTTTTCAAAACACATTTCAAATAATGCGCTAGTGTTTAGTTTTTGTGAAATTGATGTAAATAGTAGACTACTTGGATTTCAATAATTAGGCCTCTAATTGTTAAAACTTAAGACGGGTATTTAATTTTATTTTTCTCGGTTACATATACAATAAATGCCCAAAAATAAACGTTATCTAACAAAACCTTTAAATAAAATAAACAAACTGAAGTAAAATGCACTTTAGCTCGAACCAATTCGCGTCTTAGTCATTATTGACACGCTTACGACAATCTTGATGATGATAGTTGACGTTACCCTACTTTCCCATAAATTGGTAAAAATATTTGTAAAAGATCTAACAAATATAGGAGTGAGAAAATCGTAATATTACCGTAGTCTTCAGTTGAACGATATGCTTTATTTCAGTGTTGGCAGCTATAATTATCGATATTGCCTTAAAAAGTATTCGGTTGAGATAAGAAGCTCGTGTTAAAATTTGACTGCAAGGAATAGCAAGTTGATCGTTCGGTTCACTAGAAGCTAAGCGTTATGGAGGCTCGGGTGGCGAAATGTTTTAAACTTTATGGCGTTTTATATTCAAGCAGTTTCTTTCTTGTTAAATGGGAAATATGCATGGAAGGTAAGAAATAGAAGGAGGCGTTAAAGAAGAAATGTATATCATAGGAGGTAAAAGGTAAGAAATTATTTCTTGCCGAATTAGTAATGTATGATGGATGTCGAATTTTGTATTGATAAACCTTATCGATATGTCATGCATATTCCCCTATAACACGATCTTCAATTGTCTTCGTCCACTTGATAAGAAGCAATTCCATGTCTAGTAAACTACCCGTCTCACAATCATCGCACGAGTGACGTCACTAACATTAACATTATTTACACTAACACTTGCGAATCAGTCGATACTCCACACTATACATACGCAACTCAACTTTGTATATGCCTCTCTTCCGTACTTGGTAGGACTGCGTCCGTTTTTGCGATTCTTCTTATTAGAAAATTATTAAAATTATATTCCACATCTAGAGAACCCGTAAAATTAAAGATATTTAAATTAAACACTTTACAAGCTTAAAACGCGAAATATTTTAGTTAAATTTGTTTCAAAATTATTTTAACGGGGAGTCTCCCGTGACGGCTGCTGCAAAGCATCCGAAACTTCGATGCCGTAGTTTAAACAATTTTCGCGTTTTAAGCTTGTAAAGCGTTTTATTTAAATGTGTACTACTCGTGTAAATTACAAAGAGTATTTAAATTTAAGATAACCTTTTCGAAGCTTCTTTTTCACACAACCATCACGGAAAAAATGTCTGTAGTTAACGCGAGTTGTAAACGTTTAAATTTTTTGGAAAAAAAATTGCCGTGGTTTTAAAGGATTGCCGACGACTTCAGCTGCGTAGCATCCGAAACGTCGGGTCGTAGTAAAATTTAATTCGCAAAAAGGGACGCCGTCAGTAATACAACCAGCTAAAAAGCGACTACGGGTATATTGACTATTGTATATAAAATTAACTATGCTGATATGTCCGATCAGAATTATGGACACGCGAAGAACGAGCAAGGTCAGGTGAAGCACCATAGTGCAGATACTAATGGCTTATTTATAAAATCATAAGTCATTATTACCTAAAGTTAAAATATAAAATTCATATCCAACATTTGATAGAAAAAAAATGTCATACATCTTATTATTGTAAAAATGTTAGTATGTACCCAGTATCTGCACTATGATTCTTATGGTTATATCGAAAAGTGGTTCGTGTAGACGTATTGACGCTCTGGATGAAGATTTGACCCATCAAATTACAAGGGTGTGTTGTTCAGATAAAACGTTTTTATGTAAATAAATTGTTCATAAGATATTTTTTATGAATATTATTTTCATATTTACTGTTAAATCTGCCTCTAATGACATGGTTTCTGCCAAAATTTACGCGTTTATTTAGAACAACGCACCCTTAAACCAGAAAATATTTGATAGACATTTCAGCATCTGAAGCGTATATTGTCTTTCTGAGTCTACACGTACCACTCCTTGATACCGTCTCGTTTAACCGGTTGTGGCATTGGCGCTAGGGGCGTAGCCCCGTTCCTGTTCAAAGGCAGTGGCTGTAAGTTGCGAACAGCGCCACCTGCCGGCGCACTGGATGAACCCGTCTGGTAACTAGAATGAGCCTGAAAATTTTGATAATATATCTGTTAGTTTTATGTTTCCTTGTTTATTTTACATATTTATATATTGCCATTTACATTTGTTTTAATATGATCTTAAAAACGAATAAAAAAATGAAATTTGAACAACACGTTCGATTTAAATTGTAATGATCCAAACATAGACTATTAAAAAAGTCATTCCCAGTTTCGACAAACTTTAAATGCCGATTACTTAAAACTTATTATTACTTAAAAATTCTTCTGAATTTCAAAAAGCAAACTACCTTCCATACTCTTTTACCTGGTTGGCTAGAAGCGCAGCGCTTGCGCTTTGCTGATAACTCTTGTCTTCTGTCACCTTGTAGGAGGGGTCCAGTTTGAACATCAGCTTCAACACTATTATCACGATCAATATTATCGCTATCAGTATTGATGCAACGATACCTGGAAAAACATAATTTCAATCTTATTGTTGTATCTAAGACTACTTGACGGAAAAATGTATGTTTATTTGAATCGATGAATTTTGTCAAAAGGGTTTTTACACTACCTAAACATTTTATTTAATATTATGGAATTATATATGGCACAATAACAGTCAAAATGTAAAGTGGAGTACCAAGGTATAGTAATACCAAGTGTAGTATACTTAACGATCACAAATAAAGACTGCATCGTTGATTTTTACTTGAACTCACCAACAATAGTAGCAAAGAACTCGGATTCAGGCGGCACCACCCTATTATCCGTCGATTTGGGGTGGTACCACTTGGTCGTGATCTCCGGCTCGTGCCCGTTGTACCCAGGATAGCTGCCTGGAACCACTTCGTCTATGCCGTAGGGTGAACGGGTCGCTATCTTTGTGTGTGTGTGGTCTTCATAGTCGGGGATCTCTTCTTCCGTTGTGTGCGTGCTTTCCGTATGCCGTGTGACTGTCGGTGTAAACTGATTGCTTGTGTGCGTGTGTTCTGAAAGTGAATCATAAAATTAAGTAATGAGTATTTTAAATACTGTCTATAGTTTACGCGAGTAGTACACATTTAAATAAAACACTTTAACGGTTTAAAACGCGATATATTAGTTAAACTTATTTGAAAATGATTTTTAACTTCGGCCCGACGTTTGGGATGCTTTGCAGCAGCCGTGGTCCCCGTTAAAGTGTTTTATTTAAATACCTTTAATAAGGCTGAAATTATTAAATAAACGATTTATCTTCAATTAGTGGGCAACAATAGTATACAACCATAATATATTGGTGAATAGAAAAGTTACCACCTTCCGTTGGAGTAGTTCCCTTTTCTGGAGTGGTAGCAGTGTCTATCGTGCCCGCGTGCATGTTGTCGTGGTCGGGCAGGGTGGTGCGATCACTCTTTGTGGTGCCAACGGTCTCAGTCCCGCCCTCAGTGGAGCCAGATATCGCCTTGTCGACGTGCTCCGTGACTATAGCCGAAGTCGGGGACGTCATGCTGATGGTGCTGCTCACACCCGCACTGCAAAAGAATATAATAGTATTTTTATGATAGAGAAGGACAGGTAACTACGGGATTCACTTGATGGAAGGTGAAATACCATCTAAATAAAAATCTCGAGTGAGAGCGAGATCATAGTTCCGAGTGTTTAGGTTATTCGCTGGGCTAAGTACAAATGTACAGTTATGATTTTAGTCTTTAAATTAAAGTCTCATAGTCAGGTTAAAAATGGACATCAGAAAGTTAGTAGTTAATTGCGAATATAAAAATTATTAAAAATAACGTCGATTTTAAATTCTACACTTCATCATCATCAATCATTTTATTCACTGCCCCCGGGGGATTCCCTTGGGGTAGTGAGTAAAGCCGACGATTCATTGCTATTCTTAGGTGATGCACAAGCCGAGTATCCGATTACACAAGCACACTTTTCTATATAAATATTAAGCGATATGGTTTGTGTTTCAGAGTTACCCATCAGAGCCCGGATACCACTGATAGCGGAATAAAACTATAATTTGCTTCGTCAACTTACGTCGTGATAGGGTGCTCCGGTTCAGTGACATCATCTGCGTTCGATCCTGAACCCTCAATGCAGTCCTCGTCATCGCAAGGTTTCATCAGTTTGCCGCTGAGGTCTCCCTGGAAGCAATGTGAATAAAGGTTGGAGAATCTGGAGTTTAAGATTATACAAAGTATCCAAGCAGATATGAATTTCAAACTTTATAATTAACTCGATATTTCGAATTAACTAGCAGGGCCAAAGAGTTATATTGGGCATAAAATTTATTTTTGCCAACATAATAGCTGATTAACTCGCTAGATCGATGATGTCGTATCGATCTAGCGAGTTAATCTTAAAAGATAAGATAAATTATTATATCCTTCACGTTTCTTCATGTTAAGCCGTTTTCGCAGCGTTGTCAACAGTGCCCGGAAAGATAAATAATTTTTCTCGTATTTCACAGTTCCCTCTATTTTTTACTCCTATTGGTAACATCCCGATGTTTCATAGCATTCATCGATAAACGAACGCAACAAACACAGTATTTTTAATTGAAACCAGTAGTTTCAGAGATTAGAGCGTTCCAACTTATAAACTCGTCAGTTTTATAATATCAGTATAGATTATTAATTTAGTAAACGAGAACATCTTCAAACCTTGCGCATAGCTGGCGGTCGTCTCGTTGAAGGTACATACACAGGAGTAATAAGATCGTCTCCGGAGCCAGCATCAGGCAGAACACATGCATCTTCATCATCGTCTCGACAACCTGAACCTGCGCCCGAGTACACCAACTCGTCCAGCACACCGGGACCCCCATACCCTGATGGTGGTGTCTGAAATAAAGTGTAAAATGGATAACTGTCTCATTTGTGCATTTTAATAAAGACTAGGGCTGAATATATCTAATTGTTATAAGTGTTATTTGAGAGCGTTGAAATAAAATAATACAATATTGAACTCTTTTTTATTTCGTCGTCGCCTTAAGACAATACGTCTTTGAGTTTGTCTATCTCCGTCCCTCTCACAAATATCCTCTTGCTCGTTCTTATATTTCATTCTACGCATTCTATATGTAATTTAGTTGCCTTTTACAAAATACACCATCATTCCGAATAATTAAAGCCGGGTTTAAACGGTTTAAACTTTGTTTGAAACACTGTTACATTACCAATATTCAAACCATTATCTTTTCATTTGTATAGAAAAACGATACCTGTTGCATCCTATTAATATCCCTATCGAGTGGAGTGTGAGCTCTTCTGGCATCGCCTCTTACAGTAACTGCTGGATCACCTGCTGCCGCCAAGTCTAGTACCCGAACCCTTCCAGCTACGAGACCGGCCAGTACGCCACTGAACGAACGCGCCCCGCCCGTTCCACCTCCCACGATGATCCGAGACATGCTGTTGAATATTGTGGACTGTTGGCCTCCTGAAATTTTTAAAACGGCCCTTAATTAGTTTTTGGGAATAGTAAATAAATATTAAGGGAAATAATCCTTTATTTTCAAAATTATACTCACGAAATGTGTGTAGCATAAGCATAAGCAATTCTAAATATTAACCAAACCTGGTTAATATTTAGAAATGCTTGTTGCTTAATTTATAATTTTTTAAACTATAATAGAATTTTTGCTTATACATTATTTGCTGTCATACATATCAAGATGCTAGTTGTATTTTTTTGGCAATGCGCCTTCTCGTAAATGGATACTTTTGGCATTATGTTTCCTACCTTGAGGATGTCGTAAATTAACAGCGTAGTTGTCAAGTTGCAGCGCCGCTCGACTTCCGTTCCTAGTGAAGCTGGCTACGTGATAAGCTCCATCATCAACACGAGCAGCCTCATCACCCACTGGATGCTCTCCGTCACCTACATTGTATACCACGAACAGATTACCCCGGATCTGGAAATGGACCATATCGTTTCTTGTAGTTCATTTATTATGTTAATGACACATGTAATACAGTATCGATCAAAAAAGAGAAGAAATACTTGTAATACACTATGTATAACGTTTAATAGAATCGTTGAATAAGTAATATTTTTCCAAGTCTAGAGTAGGAGTAAATAACGTGGCACTATTTACACTTTAAAAAAACCTTTAAAATGGTTCAAAACGATACGATAAGAATCGTTAATCTATAAAGTATCTGAAACATCGTGGTTGTGGTTAAAAATAAGTTAATATTCCGCTTTTATAATTGTTGAATATACATATTTAAATGTGTACGACTTAAAATTTTTAGCACGAAACGCTGTGGATGCCGTTCTAGTCTCGTTTTTGTCGTCAAATCAATCTAAACAGAATTTTATTATACGACTCAGTAAAGTGCAGACATTATTTTTCTGTTCAATCTTTGTAAATGTACTCACAATCTCCATTTGCATGTAGTCTTGTGTGTTAGACGATTCTATCCTCATGATGACAGCATCGGCTTTGCTCGTGACGAACCCGACTGCCACTTTATCGGTTTCTGTATCAACAACAGCACTTGGAGCGAAGGTGTACGTGATGATGCCTCGTCCTGGTCCGAATTCATACGCTATCGATTCTGAAATTTACATAAAGGTATTTATATACTTTTTATAATAGAAGAGAACAGACAAGCATGGAATTCATTTGATGGGAGGTGAAATGTAACTCCAGCCTCGCAACTTCTCAACAAGATGCGCTGGCGCATTTGGCTGGCTAATTTCGCAATGTATATTCGGACATCCACAGACAGAATCACACAAACGGTGGGGTTTCATCGGTGGGATGGAGTGTCGTGACCCGAACATAATTTCTATACTTCGATTCGAAATCGGGATATTAAATGAGTTGCATTTAATATTCCAATTTCAGATGAAGTCCAACATGTTTCAGAAAAATTATTAATTTATCAATGGACCCGATCAGGATCAAACCCACGACTCGTTCATTAGTCATACATTGTTACCATTACACCAAGGAGCCCGTCAACATTAGTCCAACTGTCTAAAAGGAGGAGCAAAAATAATAGAATAAGCTATAATTTATATAGAGAGCGTCTTACCATCATAGCATGTGGGACCGGTGAAGGAAGTAAGGTCACAGTCACACACATATGTGTTCCACTGTTGCACACAAACGCCCTTGTTGGCGCATGCGTTGTGTGTGCATTTTGTTGGGCCTGAAACAGCAAATAGACCTTGTTAATTTTGACTGAAAGGAGAGAGATTTTCAATCGATGTACTACGAACGATGTACTAATAATCATTGAGAAAGTTTTAGTTAGCTACTCAAACTATTAACGTTACAATTTTTTCATTTGTTAACAGTGACATTTGAAAAAGCGCCATCTAGGTCGGTTAAAAGATTTTGTTTGCCACGTTTTTTGTATAATTTTTCAACCTATCAATACATGCATCTCTCGCGCAATGTAATGAATGAATAGGTTGACAAAAATCGTCGATGACGTGTAGGACACGGTAGCTCAATTGGTTTGAGCAACAGCACGAAACGCAGTGGATGCCGTTTAACGTCCTGACGTCGTGTCGTCAATTTCTTTATAACATATTTGCTCGTAAAATGGTTGTAATTACACCAATTTCAATATCGTAATGTATCTCATTACGTACTTGTGCGATAATGTAATGTAAAAGGCACGTGTTTTTTTTTTAATAAAGTTTTAAGATACTCCGTCTAAAAATGAACGATACTTTTAAAAATCGTAGCAAAGAGATTTTATGTCAAGAAAGTGGTCTATATTTTATAAATAAAATATAACAAATAAACATTTAATTTAATTAATTTTGACAATAAACAACCATTTAACTATAACAAAAACACAAAAATATTAATTTACTTTATTAATAATACTGGCTGTTTTTGTACCTTTGCCTAAAAAAAAACGTTGATGCGCGCGCATCGCTTATTTGTGGACAAGTAAAAATAATTCCGCGCGCTTTTTCTTTTCGCTGTATTGTTTTTATTTTTATAACGGCTTTAACAATTAATTAAATATTTAATTGTTTAATTAGGTTAGAGTTTTATTAATTTCCTCGTAAATATGTTATAAAACGTCGTATGACATACGTGCGCTTTGAAAATTACAGCCTCTGCTTTCTTATAGCCCTCGCCGGCTCAAGCAAATCGGGCTAGTAATATCGCCTCGGCTGTAATTTTCAACTTACCGCACTTATATCATAATGTACTACTATTACCCTAAAATCGATTCCTAATTATATATTACCATCATGTAAACAAAGAAAAATATTAAAGTTTTCAAATGTTTTTTAAAAATAGTCGTACCTTCGCACCCCGATACTAAAGAAGAGCTAGGTACTACAGCATCATCTATTAACGAGGGCGACTCTCCGGGTAAATCCAAACTCGACATACAGCCCTCGAAGCCTTGCCGGGACAAAACGCCAACTGGCAGCGAAGTGTACATATCTTTTGGTACTCCACCGACGTATAGCACGCTATCGAGCTCCAGCATTAGATTTGAACCTGAAATTTTCATATTGTTCAGATAAGCAGATAAAATGAGATACAAATGTTTTGATTCTTAATTGCATTTACAGGGACGCATTGGTATTTGCGTTAACAGTGTTATTTAAAATACAATAAAATTACCTTTAAAATTAAACAATTATTTTTATTCAATATCTAAACGATCTTAAATCATTCTCTATACAATTATGAATAGAATTCAGGAATCTTACTGTTAAATAAATTACTAAAAAAATACTTACTCGTCGTGTGCATCTCCAAATCGTCGTCGACCTGCACAGTGTGCACTTTAGGCGTCGGTCGTCGGATCGAAACCGTGTGCCACCGATTGTCATTCAGGAAGTTCTTCAATTTGTCCTTCATAGTCACCACTCCGTCCCCGAGATTAAACACGCAGTGTATGTGCCCATTTACCAGCTCCACCGCTATAAAATCCTGCTTCTTCCCACCGTTGTAGAAGAGCAATCCGTCCATTTCGGTCGTCCGGAAGTAAAAGTCCAGATACGTATTACCATATGCCTTCAGTAGTGGTAGGCCCACATATGTGTGTTTAGACTTGAAAGTCACGGCTTTGTACACATTTAGCGAGTCGGGCTTCGTGAATTTCCCGTTGAACACAATATTTGATGTATCATAGATATTGTTGTTCTCTTCGTGCGTCCCGATACCCAGAGTTTTCGCTAATTCGATATATTTGATACCGTTGAAAACAAAGCTTTGTAAGTGGCCGACAAAGTTAGGTAAAGTCGACGTCATTTGAATTTCTTCCTCCGGGTGATACAAGCCTCCGAGGTGTAGCGTGGATATTTCCAAGGTGGACGCTTTCCCTAGAATTGTCTCAGCTGCAAAACAAATCGAAATAAATGACAATCACCTATTCTTCACTTTACTACTTATAGTATTATCACTGTAAGATTTGCGTAACAACATGAAGTAACCGAACGAAAATAAAACGAGTTGTAGAATGCACGAACAAGTGGGAAATTAAATATAAACGTCGTAAAAGTCTTTTTTAAAGGAAATGAGACCTTCAACTAATAAAAAGATAGAAAATCAATGGAATAGAATTTTAGTTCCTTCAACAATTAAATCATATATTTTAGTCGAGTATTTTAGATAGTTTTAAACATTTGATTTAGCTTCGTTATATTGCATCACATTATTTGTCGCGTATTTCATCTCACAGTGATAATACTATAAATAAAACACAACATCGACTCTCAAATAAAAATAATTCAGCAAAAGTAAATTCCATCGACTGTCAGCCTCTTCGCCTGTATATACAGAACCAGCACATAGATTTGATAGAGCAAAGCTAAGTAGAGTCGCCAAAACAAAAGGTCCAAGTAGACACAGTATCTGTCAATATTTCCAGTAGGGAATTAATAAACGAATATTAATGGGTGGAACCTGTTCTACGGTGACAATGAATGACTCAGTGGTCCATGATAATCTGTACCTAGCTACGAGCATCCACAATCCATACACGCACATATTTTTAACGATTTACGACGAAAATGAAATAAAAGATGTTTTACACGATTGGATGGCAAGAGATGCTTAACAAAAGAGAAACTTTAATTTTGTAAAAAAACGATTAATTTAATTGGTTTAGTTTTGCGCTTTCGTTAAGTACATCGTCGAACAAAGGTAAGAAGTAACTTTTACAAATTTCATTCTACAAAGTACAGATTCATTGGATTAAATTTGTGTGACTAGTTCCATTTAATCTCTCAACGCTAGATTTATTTTTGCAAATATCGATGCCACATTCCTACCACCCATCCAATAATAGTCTCGTTAGCTAATCGCATACAATGACAGCGACAATGTTTCATTGTGGCCTGTGACATAACTTCATGGTACCGACAATAAATGATAAATGATTCTGACCATTCACGACAGGAAAGAACAGATACCACTATTACCAACTACTTAGTCTATGGGGGAGAAAAACTACAGAAACGAAGAAATGATAAGCGTAATAGAACAGAAGAGTGAGATACAGTGCCAGCTAGAAATAAACGGAAAATAAGCGACTACGCTACAACTACAGGACATCTAACATTGAAGGTCGCTTATTAATTAGTAGTACCTCTCACAAACTTAATAATTTTAAGGTACGCTCTAATTGATCAATTAAAAGTTCTGGCGATAGTTACTTAACTGACATTTTTATTTCTTGCCTCAATAATTACATTTTTATTATGCTTAAATTGTCATACTCTTTAACGTTTTACTTCCATTTGCAAAAATTATTGAAATTTTGAGTGAAAGAGACAAAACATAACACACACTACTGTCTCTTTACTCCCTTCTTTATTCTATTCTAATTGTATTCAATTGTATAATTCTTATTGCCTGTAGAGTTTAGTTTATCTGCTATGGATATTTCCTACCAGAACTGAAAAGAGGGACCAACCTTATTCCTAGGTAAGGGTAAAATGAAAAGTGCGGGTGGTGTCCCGTGCATACGTACATAACGTACCGCGTACTGGTTGTCCACCGTCTACCTGAAGTTTCAGGTTCGACGCCCGACGAGAGAAGCGAACCGTGTGCCACGCTGAATCCGCGACGTTCGTGCCCGCTAGAAGATTCTGGAAGTGTAATCGAGTAATTTGTAGCATTTAAAATATTAAAATTATTTTTTTACTAATCTGCAGAATTGTTTTTATTTCTTTGGAAGTAGTTTGATCTTCCATGAAGTTTTTTTCTTCTTACCTTTTCCCGGTCCCCCAGTCTTACGCTAGCTCTAACCCTCCCAGCAGCAACAGCTAACTCAATCCTATCAGCAGAGTTCTCTGATGCAGTCCTGAGGAGCAACCCTGCCTTACTGGTTTTGAAGCGGAGCAACAGTTCCTCAGTCTGAGTCACATGTTCTGGGCCTAATGACGCTGTTAGGTGCTGGCTTCCGTTCAAGAATATTGTTGCTGATTCTATCGAGTTAAATGAAATTATATTCAATATTTCCATCAGATCATGGCTTGGCAAAAACACCTAAACAATCGAACAATAAATAAAATTAAATAACTTAAATATATCTGGCGTTTCAAAGTGTTTTTAAAAGTATCTTATATGATGTGCTGTCCACTTTGGCTTTAGATATTCACAAATACACAGTTATTATAGCAGTTATTTTACTGTGAAATTTTCGATTATCCTACAACCCAATTATCCAGTCCTGCCAGATGAAGTCAGATATTTCATAAAATTTATAAATAGATAAGAAGGTGGTATCCGGTGGAGATCAAACACACGACTCATACTTTGTTAACATTAGACCAACTATCCCATTTTCGAAAACTACGAGTAAAGAAAGACTTGTATTTAAATGTTTACCTCGTCCACAGGTCGGTCCACCATACTGAGTTGAGGAGCAGTCGCAGAGTGGGCGATTCCAGCCTTCTGAGCAGATGCCGCCATGCTGGCATGGAGACGAAACGCACTGCTTCATCAGCACGTGACACGCTGGGCGGACTGATGCTGAAATCAGGACAAATCTTGTGTTAGGATTCGTGTTAATTTGGCGGATGTACCGATGTCCGAGTTGGTTCATATATTAGTACGAGTCGGACTCTAGCATAAAGGGTTAAATACCAATCAATTAAATAATAATACAACTAAGTATTTTTTTAACTCTATAATTTTTCACATGTTATTGCACATTATAGAAATTAAAATATATTAAGATTGACAAACAATTACTCTTAAGCTGCAAAGTATAAGACATTGGACGTTACTACGAAAGTGTTAAAATTCAAATTTCATTGAGGTGTTAAATACACCAACGGGTTGAAAAGTTGACACGTGCAACACTATAGCTCAATTAGTTAGAGCAGCAGTACGGAACTCTGTGGATGTTCAGTTCAGGTCCCCCCATGCTTTTTGTAATGCTAATAGATTATTAATTTAAGTGCTAATCTATAACCATTCTTGATATAGAGGAAAGAAGTTAGTTTTATGGGAGCCCGCTTAAATAATTTATATATAGTTATACTTTGATATACAATCTCAACTTATTAATAAAAGCAACCAAAATGGCGTTAACCAACCGGAGTCCTGCTGCCGTGCATAGGCGGTGAGGTCCTGCGGTTTCCCATTGAGCACTAAGTCCCGTATGCAGCCCACAAAGCCCTGTCGCAGCGCCGCTGTCCACAAAGCCGGGGGTGTCCTCGCGGCTGAATACTCGGAGCCCAATCCGCCCACGAACAAAGGCCCGTCCAGCTCCAATTGATTTGATTCCCCTGCAACGTGTCCGTACGTTTAGAACCAGAGGTAAATAAATATTAACTAAGTAAATTGTAACTGAGTAACTAATATATTACGCGTTTAAAACCGTTAAAAGTGTTTTAATAAAAAGTTGTTTACATTTTTTCATTGGCAAAGCCCCATTTCTCGAGACTTGAAGACACACAAGTAACTCATAGGTCTGTCAGCGTTCTGTGCTCTGCCCGATCGAAACAATTTTTCACCCCGGAATCTAACTAACCACAGGACTTTCAGTATTGGAGAAAATTGCTAATATCCATGGAATGTACTCGTACAAGTTAGTAATTGCAAATACATTAAAGATGTGAAGAAATAAACGATATGTACCTATTATTTCTGTATACGCCTATATAAAACCTTCATAAATCCGTTCATCAGACATTGATTAATAATCAACTGCAGCTATTAATGGTAAAGGCCATTCCTTAGTATTTCTAGGTCGAAGTGTCTACATCTGTCCTTTCGATTTTGTCGTTATATTTTCTAACATTTATATAACTACCTAAGATGCCATCGAAGATATTTGTATATTTTGAAATCAATACAAACCTGGTGTCTTAAATTCAGCATTGGCTCCATCGACGGTGACTCTTCCGTCTCGACCCGTTCTCCTCAACAGAAACTCGTGCCAGTGTGAATCGTCCACCCGTCGTCTGGACGCCCTCACTCGGACCCCACCAGAACCGAGGTCCACGTGTACGTAGATATACCCATTTAACATTTCCACCGCGAATAGATCAGCCTGAAAATTCAGATGCTCTCTAATACATGAGGAGCCTGTAGCAGTTCAAGCTTTTTACGCGTCAATGATATAAAATTCGCTTTAATATGATCGCACATTTATCAGCAAAGTATGGGCCGGACCATCATACCGCACCATATTTTTTATAAATGCGAGTTTTGACCGTGCATACAATTCATTTTAACATCATTTCGGGGCGTACGTTACTAAAAAGTGTGCGATCATAATATATTTTATTTATTTATTTCACACTTAGGTACACAGAAATAGAACATACAGATACACTATGCAATTTTAAAACTATAGAGTGCACCGGGCGGCCTTGTCGCCATAAGCGATCTCTTCCAGGCAACCCATAGTGTGTTTGCATTTATTAGTAACTCACAACAATACGTAATTAATGCTGTACACAGCTAAATAGAAACTATTGAAATATTTTCAAATAAATTTCTACTGAAAATAACTAGACGGCGATTCGTATTACAAAAGAAACACAATATTGTATTCGTGCAGCATTTTGTTTAACCGCAAATTGGTATTCACTTTACGAAAGTGTTTTCCTATATTCCCAATAATCAGAGTAAGCAGTTTACTAGGAAGTTATTACGCCTGGATATATTGAAAGGGAAATAGACACGACGTGCATGCACTTGCTAAGTGTCGATAAATCTACTTAGTTCAGATGCAAAAAGAAAACGACGCCAATTCGCAATTATGTAAACCTTTTAAGTAACAAAGTAGGTAATTCGAGTGCTTATTGTTGAATGTGGCTGAAAAATTTTTCGCTCCGCACGAAATGCATGCAAACATAATTTATAATAAACTTGCATAATTTCTCGAAAAGGCCCGTAGCATGCGAAAAGCTTGTTAATATAAGATTCCGTCGCAAAGTAACAAAAAAGCTAAGCCTTAACTTAACTAAATAGACTATACATTTCTTGTACTAAAAATGATTTGTTTCTGATTAATCTGATTTTATTCTATACTGTATTTTTTCCAATTTGCCATTTTTATTAAACAAACAAACAATTTTCACGAAAACGACATTTTTCTCATGAAGTTGATTTACACTAAAACACTCTAAAGACACTGGATTGAACATTAAACTAATGAACTTCCTAAAATTCACTTAGTAAAAAGCATAATTTCATGCTAAAATTAATATGAATACTAATGAATTTGCGTGAATAGACATTTTTTTTATTTGGCTTATATCCCATTCTTATGTAAATATAAGGATGGAATATAAACAATGTTAGCGATAATATAAGGTAGAAGTTCCACATGTGCCGATCGCTGAAAAGCGTTACAAACGTCGAGTTATTAATGACATAAAAAAAAGAAGATCGTCATAAGGTCATTTATTAATATTAATAAATGACTTGAATATTGAGGTTTGGTCCATATATAATTGATACTTATTCTTTGGCAATAAGCTTACTCTATAAAAGGCCTTCACTATTTCTGTATGGTTTTTAAATCGGCCATATTTGTTGTGGTCTTTCGCCAAGGTAATAAAAATACACTATAAATACGGTTATTAACAAAAATAATAAAGAAAAATAACATAACTTTTTTTTTTCAGAAAAGAAAGAACTTAGGACTTTTCCAATTCTACACTAAGCTATACAAGATACATTTCTATTACTATTTATAATATCTCAGGATAAGGTTATTTATGTGTAATGTACGCGGTATAAATCAGAAAGAAATCTTAAGAAGTTCAACTAAAGGAAATTAAAGTGTTAGTGAAGCTCGGTGTGAATTTGTGTAGGTATTAATAAAGCCTTCCAGTGTAAGCTCAAAATGAACAGAACTCGTCTCCGACTGCTTAACCTCGTGGCGTAGGTGCTGGTCCGGGTCAGTTGTGCTTAGGATTCTACGTGCACATTGATAACAATAACACAACACTCCATCGTTTCAAAGTGGGTGAAACTTTATAAGGTACCATACACAAATTCCCCTAAATCGGTGTTTCTCCTTCTTCACCTACCATGCAGCTTCAGTGGATAAAGGTTTAATAAAATTACTCCGCGTAGACTTAATTTGAGGTAAATCGAGTTTACGAGGAAGATTTAATTAAAAACCTGTTGAAGACCTTTTAGCTACGATTAAGCACAAACGTTTTTTATCCACTGGTGTCAGGCTAGGTGATTGCATTTTTATTTTCATTTTTTTAAAGACTAAGTAACGTTAATTTGAAGAGTATAATATGCGTATTTCTACTGGGTTATCGATAGCATATTTATTTTAATGATTACCCTTTGATTTTTATTCCATAGTTATAATTATAAAATTTTGTATGGTAAACAGAAACATACACAACATCAGAAATAATGACCTCTGTATATGGTAATTCGTGTATTATTTTTCTCCTGTACAGATTATTAAATGTAATCCTAAACAAACAATTTTATTTTCTTCTTTACTTGAGTTAAAATTTAAATCATATTCTCTATTATCAATTTCTGTAGTCAAACTTCTTAATGCAATCACCTAAAGTTTTAGATGAAGATGAAATGAGTTTCATGGTCTGTTTGAATGTATCTTTTATGGCATGGTATGGTCGATGGTCAAAATGGATTTCACTCTGTCAGTGACGGTCCAACCCCAAAAGCTTCACCCCTTACCGTGCAACCTACCCTTGGTGGCTTCGCGCCCATGTTGAACAGAATGAGACCGTTCGGCTCGTTGGTGCGAAACTTGAACGAGATCGTTCCCGTTTTCACCGCCTCCCATTTCGGCAGGATCTGGAAAAATTAGTTGATTTATGACACGCTTACAACATAAGCCAGACATTTTAAATCGAAAGATTAAATTAAAGAGAAGAGTTTTAGAAATTACAAGACAGGAATTAAACTAGGCAGGTAACATTTGTTTATTCGAAATACGAAAGGAATTTCTTGGTTCGAATCTCTACGAGTACAAAGTGTAAATATAAATAATAAATCATCTTGTCTGTACAAAATTTTGATTTTAAAGCAGTATATAATAAGTATAGCCTACAATCAGCACTGTATACATAAAATGACATTGGTAGAAATATAACTATGTTTATTACATACTCCAGTCTGCACTTACACGAAACGTGTCATTAGATTCAATCGTAACATAGTCATAGTAACATTAGAAAATCACATTGTTGTTCATAAATAACTGAGGGCTTCTGAGTATTAAAATGATTTAGAAAATTACGGTCGAAACGACCTCAATATAGGGGTGCCTAAAATACTTTAATTGGTATTGGTACTCGGTATTTTAAAATACTAGGTGTTAGATATTTTGGTATCCGAACATTCGACAGTCGTCAGCGTATCTTTTAGAGATGTTATGATGCTTGCTGCATGTTTGTCTGTCCTGTATCTTAAAAAATGTCCTCAATAGGTCTCCATTTGCTACTATGTCGTACGTTATAATTTAAGACAGTATTGGACAAGTTAATATTTTGTAGCCTATTTTTAAATAGTAGGCATAGGTAATAAATACGATTTGCTTTCTATAACCCATCCCTACGGAATTGAACCACCCTTGGACGAGGCGAGGGTTAGATCGTCGCTCTGATAAAAATACATTTATTGAGTATTGTAGAGGCTTTTTCTATTGTTGTTCTTATAACCAGGGTACTTCAAATGGCTGATGAAAATTGTAACATAGGCCAAGTTGAAATTTCTTATACCGGATGTGGGATCATTCTAATTGAAGTAATATGAGTATCATAATTTGATTTTCGATTTTACAATGAAATAAAAAACCCTAAATTTACACAAAGAAAATACTGGCGATAATGTCTCGAAACCAGAAATCTACTAAAGTTAAAAAATATAATGTAATAGGTAAATAGTACCTAGTAGGTAACTCACAGTCTAACCGATTTTAAGTTAAAGCGAGTTCGAATCGTTACGACAAAGAAATCAATAATCGTTTGAACTAAACTGTGTTTGTGTATTTACTCGGAACATCGGATGGGCACCTAAATAGTGTGACGACGTCTTTTTGGAACATTTACATATATGTTGGAAAATGTCGTTTCACATCTAAGGCTTTGAAAACTACTTCAAAGTTATAGTTTGTATTCAATCGCTTACAGTGATGATATTATAACATTTGTAACGATTATTATGAATTTAAATAACATATTTTAACGGTTTAAAACGTGAAATATGAGTAAACTTGTTTGAATTTTATTTTAACTACGGCCCGACGCATCGGAGGTTTTATATATTTCGTGTTTTAAACAGTTGCGACTTTTATTTATTTTTTGTGAAAATAACAAGATTTTCTAGCATCCGGTTCGATCTCCACTGAGTTCCGCTTATTTCAAATCAATTTTGGGTGGTAGGAATCGCGAACCACAGTCGAAAGATAAATGAGTGTGAGGTTAATTCGTATTTTCTTTTCCCCATCTTCCGTCAACGGAACCCTATGCTTGTTCATTCTCAAAATTCATAATACAATTTAAACTTTTTAAAAAGGCTATATGTCCAATGTTTGAACTTTACCAAATTGCTAGCATTACTTTGAATACACTTAATAATATGGTGCCTATCATCAAGATATCAGCTTAGTAAATTGCCTACATGAAGCACGCCATCATAAGGGCGTCATATTTTTAAACGGGTGACACAGTCCGCAATATTTTTGATCAATTTATGTTGCAAAGTTTAGTCTTTTTGTATGTCATTATTATATTCAATGAAACAGTAGAAACGGATAGTCCGTAACATATGTTGTAAATGAGTTAACTAATATATTTCGCGTTTTAAATTGGTGAAATGTGTTTCATTTACAACGCAATAAACAGAGAATGCTGAGGTATAATTCTATCATTTAGATGCCCGAAATATATCACTTAACTTATTAGGGGAGGATATTTAATAGAAATATCTTAAAGAAGTCGTCACCTAACTCCATTGTCCAATGGCGACTTAAAATGTGCACACCCCCTTCATCGGGGCAGCGCCTGTTCAAATCGAATAAACTCTCAACTCAGTTCCGATCTAATCAGATAGACGAGGACACTTGACCAAATTCGAGAGTCCGGCTTTGAAGGACCATCCTTTGATGTGACCGTTTCCGTTAATGGTCCGTTTATAGAATTTTAACGGTTTTAATCGCACAGTTCTAAACTAATGAGGTGGGAAAGAACGAAAGGATTTGGGTCGAGACTATAAATAGTTACTTCTAATCTCATGAATGATTTGTATTATAATCATTTTGGAGGGTATCCTTTCATTTTTTTCTATATGTAACGATATTCTTTGTCTTTTCTGAATATAAAAATAATATATATTCCGTACCTTAAATTATAGCTATTTGTACTATCTGCAACGCCTAAAGATTTTCATTTATCCCACGGAAACTATGCACTTCGCGCGTGAAAGAGAAATTGTCATTAATTCCCCTATAACTTTGAATGTTCAATATTAGTTTAATTTTAATAGTACTGAGTTGTCAGCAGTTTTGCGAGTAGTACACATATAATATTAATGGTTTACAACGCAAAGTATAACTTTTCCTTAACCGCAGCCGTGAGAGCCCGTGACCACGACTGTCACAAGGCACACGAAACAGTCCGTCATAGTTATAATCAAACTTTTAGATTTCGTATGTTAAACCGTAGTTAGTTAAAGCGAGTAGTACATATTTGAATAAAACGCTATCAACGTTTTATTCAAATGTGTACTACCCGCAAATCTACTGCTATTACCAAACAAGATTTCCTAAAAAAAAGATGGAGCAACAATTTTCTCATGTTAAACTCTCGTATAGACGGTTTTGTTCGTTCATTCTAAATCGCGCCAATAAATACGCTACACAAGGAATATAGTTGTGCGGTCGTAATGTCGCCACTAATTACATTTCTACCGCCGCAATACACGTTTACATGTCCAATACGATTCCGAATGGAAATCGTTTACCTCGGTTAATCAGTTTTAACAATGTCACTCGAATTTATATGGCGCATCGCTTGTATTTGTCTCGTGTTGCTCCCTTTAAAAAATCTATTGCACGGATTCTGAGTAGCTTAATCTACTGCACCAGTGTGTGTGCCCTTAATTGTAAATCGATCCTTTATCAATTCGTAAAGAACACCTCTTTTCATTGCGTTTCGCGCGAGTGGTCTTGCATTCGAATCCCGGGGAAACAAAATAATGTATCTGATCTGAAGTCTTATCAACTACATGTCTTTAAAAGAACCGAACAGTGAAACGGACATAAATGTATCCGCACCACGCCCCACGGTCAGAAACCAGGCTTCACTACTACTGAAGAACATCTCTCTTAATAAAAATCAAGAAGTTTCACAATATACTTGCAACAATTATTTGTGATTTAACTTGGTCTTGTATTTTCTACAGTTAATCTTCTTACCAAATGTGCATCTCTCGTGGTGAAGGTGACAGGGTCTGCGGAGTCTGTGGCCGTGCAAGCATACTCCAATCTACCTGTGACCGTGATCAGCTTGCTGCCAGTTCTTGCCAAGTCTATCAGATTTAGACGCAGCGTGTCCGCTGAGAATTCCACCTGGTGAAAGTATTTTAGTTAATGTGCTGGTTGACAAATAATATAAATATGGCTTTAGTATTCCAACTCTTTATTAAAAAATCAGCCATTATGTAGCTATAGGTATATATTATAAACTTAATGATAATGATAAAGTTTGATTTGAATGTAAAAATAAAAAAACGTGTAGAAAAGGAACCGTTTTTTAAGGACATGAATATTGTTTAAAGCAAAATTACGACACTATACAACCAAGCTTTTACATTTTACCCGTTTACAACGAGAACGGAACGTTAATAATGTATATCGCTTTAATAAAGAATAAGCAATGGAATCAGATCGAGTCTGACTACCCAGTCTGAATTCCCAAGGGACAGAGCTGCTCTGCAATTACAAATCCAGCTTCTGCTGAATTACGCGCCGTTGGGAATAATATCAGGTATAAAGGAATGTGTTCAGTAAAGGAGTATGTACTTTTTGTATAATACTAAATATAAACGAATATATATAATTGGACTGTTATTTGCTATACCTAAATAAATTATATTTGAGATTGAATTATTGATAAAATCTTGAATAATTAAATAGTGACTTTTATAATAAATGCAATATTTTGCTTTTAAGAGTTTAGTAATCGAATATGTATCTAAAATTTTACATTAGTGTAAATTTTTGTTACGGAGGTAACGTTTAGCTGCAAATTGTATGACACTGTTGAATTCTCAGTTTCATTAATGATGTACATAAGCATCAGCATTTGGTAGAAAACTATGACGTTAAAAATCTTAAGTTTACCTTTTTAAGACATCCAATGAAGTTTGTATGCACTCTGGCTCCGGGCAGGGCTCTGGTGTTTAAAGAGCCACCGACGTGAGCCCTAGAGCTCGCCAGCATCGTAAAGGACCCAGCGACATGCGCGTGTTCAGAATACACATCGTCCACCACTGCTGACACCTGTTCATAAAAGACATAAATGAGTTGATCAATTATTTTTCATACACATATAACATTTTTTCACAGTAACAGGCTCCTTATAATGGGAGTAATTAAATTGCTAATAATAAACGGACCGTGGGTTCAGTTCCCATCGGGTGCTACATGTTTCCTATCAATTTATAATTTTTCTGAAACATGTGGGCCTTCTGGAAATTTGGATATGAAATGGGTGAAATATCGATGTTCTGAACCATCGCGCACACTTGAAAGTAGTGAAGTTTAATCGCGTTTCGGTTTCAGTCTCTGAATTTCGGCATATCCAAAGAAAAATAGGTCGACGACGCATCTTGTTGAGATGTTCTGTGGCTAGGGAACTTTACCTGCCATTAAGTAAATCCCATGCGTATATATATTAAGTACATTCTAAGCGTATAGAAGTATCCGAGTCCCTTCACAAATCCATTCGGTTATACAAATTATTATTGATCTTATCAATCATATAATAATTCTATAGGAGTAGTTTATCATGGAAGGGTCCTATTCATTCGCAAAATGCTTTGTACAGAACGGCGTACATGGAATAATAACTCTAAGCTCAACAACTTTGTATTTGTATGGACAAGCTGTTATATTCGCTTAATATATTTGTATACTAAAAAAACGAATTAAACAAGAAGACAGACAATTTCTTCAAATAGCAATTAATATTTTTAAGATAACAACACACCATTGGCTATATAGTATAATTGTTGCGCAGATATTTAAATGTATTTATAACACATTTTTATACTTCTTTCTAATGTATTGCGTTGTTTAAATAAAAATAAAAAACTTTTAACGGTATAAAACGCGAAAAATATTACTTTCAGCTGCGATTATGTTCACAGCAAAGCATCCGAATTGTCGGGTCGTAATAAAATAAGTTATGAATTATATTTCAGGTTTGCTACTCGTGTAAAAAAAAAAAAATATTGGTAAGTTGATTTCATATTGTAATGTTTAGTAGTAGTAGTAGATAGACGAATGTTTTGGAAAGTATTGAGTCTGCATAGTAAGACATGTTTGAGGTGAATTACTATAGCGTGTACTGAATCTATTCGGTTTGGTTGTATGTCATGTTGTATGTAAATTATAATCACATGTTGATACACTATTTATTGGAATGACGTCAGCATTATCGAAGTCCTATTAAAATATACCGCCATTACTGATGCTATCACTCTTCTAGCGTCGCGTGTTTGGTCCGTTTATTTTGTGAATTTATTGCATAACATATAAGATAAAAGATACCATCTTTATCTTGCTGAGTAATAGCGCTTGAGAAATGAGTTTGAATTTTTAACGTGATTTAAACAAATTGTATTTGAGTTTTATATATTCCAGAAAGAAAATATACTATCTCTTATCAGCATCGTCAAAGTAGATCGTGAATAAGTACATACGTAATGATGTAAAAATTATATATTACTTACTCTTTGAGCTCAATACATGGTTTACAAAATACCTAAAGTTAAAAATAATATATTTATAATATAGTACACAAAAGAAGAAATTAATTTAAAAGGACTTAATTTAAAGACAAAAAGACATCTATTAATTGAGTTGCCAGAGACATAATTAAGAGTGTATTTTTCATTTACACAACATTTTCAGTTTATTATATTTATGTTTATACTATTATACTTTAAGCTTCAGTGACGAAAATTTTCTGACCGTAATAACGTGTAAATTTACTTTTCGTGCAAAAGAAGAAAAATATCATATACTATTTATCTCTATTGAGTAGATTTATATATATTTTTTCTACGCTAGTTTTGTTTTTCAATAAAACATAAAATTAAATTATTTTAAATTAACCTGTGTCGCTAAAATATAATTTGTTGTATCTCGTCTTAGTACTATTACCTATAATAAGTAAAAGGAAGAATCGTTGTTTCTACGACTGCAACGCAATTCAGCAAGATTTTCCTTTGGCCGTTATTACTTCAATAGAGTCATAAATATTCGCCGCATTTAATTTTTATTCATGAGGATACTTTTTAATTTTGTAGAAAACTTCAATGTATTTTTATAACTGTAAACAAACACAAATTCATCCTTAGTGAAATCAGAGCCAGTGAGCTTACAACGCAGAAGTCTCGAGATATTGGCTTGGATATAACAGAATTACGCCGAGCCAAGATGAATGTTCGTTATTTGTCGGCAAACATTGGTTAACTGGCAACTCCACTACATCTCTTATTTACAAACGCTACATAGTAACAAAGTATATTAATTTTCAATCTAAACTAAGCTGAGTATCTGATCTCGCATCGGCGACACATTGGGACAAGTATGTCATGTAATTTGAAGCAGATGCGTCGTCCATTTTGTTCTAAATACAATTTTAAATTATTCACAATATTATATATACATTATATTATCATATTTTTACTAGATGCGAACCCAGTAAAGTAAAGCGACAATCAGACGACCATGGAGACATAAATCTTCAAGTAAAAAGACAATATATATATATAAAGAAATTATTAATATTAAAAGATTATTTTATTTGTTTCAAGGAATGTTAAAAAGTCTGTAACAGAGGTGAAACTCGAACTAGTACTGTGTAGTGTTTCAAGTGTAGATTGCTTTTTAAAAAATCTCACAGTTTATATTTAGTTTTTCTATAGAAGCCTACATTTATACAACGACACAAAGAGAGATTTTCTTTAGAGAGAGTATTGTGTGGTATCGGAACTCATTTGTAACGTTTTCGCTGTCGCCTTGAAATGGGTAATGCATCGATTCTTTATAACGGGCATTGTTCTAGAAAATATTGCCTTTTTCCCCATTGTTGAGAATGCGAGAGAGTTTTCTAATATCAACATACATTAACCACCTCCACAGAGCAGCTTCAGGCGCGTTAATAGAAATTATTGAATCGCGAGTGTCACAGAGCAACAACCAGATAACATCGTGATTATTATATTTCTTTACTAAGTGTTGATGTGATCTTTGAAACTGTCACATCCAAGCTGGGGTGGAGGAAACTGTGTCTTCAATTTCCAAGCTTCGATAATCCGGTTGTCTCTAAAGATCATTAAATTGATTGATGATTTAGACAAAATTTAATGGTGGTTTTGATTAATTGATCACTAACTTAAGGCTTGATTTTTAGTGGATTAATTGAATTCTTTCAAATTATATGTACACCTTACAAATAAACCTACAAAAGTATTAATTACAAATGGTGTTTTTCCATTTTAGAATTACACAAAATCTACGCATGTTAAATCCCAATAACTTTAACCCAGTAGCCTAAAATTTAAGTTATATACTTCAATATTATGTACTTAAGTATAGGAACGTGTTCAAATATTATAAACGTAAATAATAAACTTGAATTGTGGCTCCTCGCCCATGTTTGCGGTGGATAAAGTTAGTCGCTCATTCGACCGCAGCTTTTCATCCCAAGTTCTGCTTAGATAGGGGCCAGTTCCCAAACTTATTATCGTCTTAATATTATTAGGCTACAGTATTTTAACTGTTGGACATCGTCGTAAAACGTTCTAACACAATAGAATAAAATTATATCACTTTGAAGAACAAATTGATGCTATAGGGCTAAGAACTTCATTGATTTGGTTGTCATTTGGACAGAACTGTGATCTTCACAGTCATGTTCAAGAAGAGATGACGCACGATTTTTTAAAAATCAATTAATATTAAAAATCAAAAATAATATTCTGTGAAAGTGAGCTTACCCGACAGAAACTGGTGAACGGTGTAATCTGCAACAAAATATGGAAACCAATTAAACAATCACTTGACATATATTATAAGTATACTTTACTTTGGAATAACTATATCAAGTTTCATTAATATACTATTTAGTAGTGTAAAGTGTAATCTGAAGCTTCTTGGGTTTTTGACCAAATCGCAAATTCATTAAAAGCAACAGAAAATGGCGGATGAAAGAGCAATCAAGGTTGCTGTATGGGGAGGCTAGGCATGAGACCTTTAAATGTGTATAAAATTTTTACGCCGTCCCTTAAAATTCAATTCTAATTTTCGGTTTGAAACACATTCATTAGTCATTTTCAAAAACTTGTCTGGAATAATTCAACCCATCACATAATTCTCATTCCAATCGTCGAGTAATTGCGCAACGCAGACATGTTTACGTCGGTGGAAAGTAATTAAAGCCTTCCCGACCTTCGAGTAACAATAACAAACAGTTAGTCTCAGTGTTGTTTCCAAGTTCGATAAGTTTGGGTTAACCTGATTTTATTTATGGCGACTCGTGCGTGCTTTCAATTTTTGATTGGAACCATCGATTGAAAATTCGGGGAAAAGTTGACGTGGAAATTGTCAGAACTGAATGATAAAGGAGTAACGATTCAAGGATTTAATACTTTAAGTTAGCTTTGATATTTTAGCAATCTTCAGTATGTAAAGTACAATTAAAAGGTACCTTCTGGTCTGATACCTTTATTGGAAGTATATCTGCAATATGTATTACTTTTCTTTAGACACAATATAATATTTTTTCCAATTGTGAGAAGGGATTAAGATTATAGATAATAAACACTAATAGATAGATATAGAAATAATTCCCACCCTTTTGAATTCGTTGCCTCGTCTTGCACCGAAAATCTTTGTTTGTGCCACGTTCCGATCGCTCGCCGATGAAAAAATCTCGTCTACTGCAACCAAACGCTGAATAATTTGTCATTTTCCTAGTATTTTTTAAGCCTAGTACCCAAATCCATATTCAAATTGTGAGAAGGGATTTAATTATAAATATACACTAAAACAAGTCTCACCTCTTGAATTTTCCGCCTTACAGTGAGCTTATGCGACTGATGGTCGTTTAATATTGCTACGGTTTTATGTGCATTTCTGTTTGCCATTACCCAGACCAATGTAGAGAGAGGCCTCCATCTTTACAGGTTCAAGAGTCCGCTTCATGGCCTGCGATTTCATTTAAAAATAATATAGGGCTAAAGATATTTTGTCATAAGAAAAATAGGACATTTTTAAGAAAATCTTTTTTTTTGTATTCATAATTCCCTAAAACATTTAAAGTTAAAGATCAGTCAACATTATACTCCGTTTTTTACCGACTCAGTAACTTAATGTTTAAAGGTGTAGTACAATACTGTGACAAGCTCAAATGGTACTGGAATCAAATCCTGGAGTAACAATAATATGTATCTGTCGAGCAGGGCACAAAAAACTGATCAACTACGCGTTTGTAAATAAAATCGTAAAGTGAAAACGGAGATACAAATGAGTTAGACTTTCCACTTTACCAGTATAGAATAGTAGTCCATTCGGCTGCCGCGTTTTGAAATAGAGTGAAATTGCATCTTGTGTGCTGACTATAGGTTCGCCTCCGGTCTGCGTCAGGTCGTATGAGAGAAATTCCGCCCCACGAAATGTGGCCTCCGATGGTGCTTTGTCTGTAACAAATGATTTTACTGTATAATATTATAATGCTAAACTATAAGGTGTCCTAAATGGTCTTTTTGTGACCACAAAGCATCCAAAACGGTTGGTAATTAAAATAACTAAAAGTGAGTGAACTAAAACAATACACGTTTTAAACCGTCGACTTAAATGCATTAGTAGAAAAAAATATGAGTATATCCGATTTTTATTTAAAACTGACAATTACTGTGAAATCATAAATAAGATTGAATTTTTTGTTTATGCCAATTGTGGAAAAGATTTTAGTAGTTTATAGTACAAATGGTTTGCTTAAAATCGGACTTGGGCCGCATAAAATTGCAAGAGCAATAAAAACTCACTGCAATATTGATTTCATAAATAATCAATAAATAGTAATTACTCGTAGCGGCGCGCTTCCTACTAGCAATACAATTTGCAACGTAATAACTTCGATATTAATTTTACAGCAATTTACTTAGAAAACGTTTCCGACTTTTCACTCTTTACATAAGTCGCGTTTACCGCTATATGGTGTGCTATTTTCAACTTTGAATAAACGTTGTAACTTGCACAACTTTTTGCAATTAATTAGATCTTTGTATACTTGTAAGGCTGCTTTTCAAATTAACTTTAACATTAGTTGCAATTGTACAAATGGTCTCACTAAACAATAAGAGTAAAATAAAATTAACCCAAAGACGTTTTACTGTATAAGACGAGACGTTACTATTCATTTAATAATCGATGAAATAAGAATCATCAAAGTTATTTGAATAATAACTGTACAAATCCGGCAACCAAAAACAAACTTAAAAATATGACATACATTTTTAGTGTATCTTATCTATTTTGATGTTGAAAACCTATTGCGTCGTCTAGCAAAACCAATGAGCTAATTGAAATAAATTGATTTAGAGCAACTGAAATCGGTTGAGTCGACAACACCTGAAGCACAAAATTGATTAATGGACCAACTTAGACTGCTTTCGTGCATTCATTTACAAAGTAACTTTGCATAATTTTCCTTTTGTCTTTGTGCAATTTCTATCAGCGGGGAGTGTGGAACTGATTTTTTTGTTTAACGTATAAAAGCTATTGAATTTGGTTGTAATTATTGAAACGTAGTTCTTTTAAATTTGGAGCTTTATGAAAGAAAATAATTCGTAGAAATATCCCCCAAAAATTGTATGAATATTAATAAATAATAATTAATAGTACATTAAGGTCAGTCGATACAAAAACATAAAAAAGCGATGTATATTATATATTAACAATAAAAAATTAGAAGCTCCTTTTACATTTAAACGTGCATTTTGCATTATCCGCTTGCAAAACAAAATATCATGATCTGAAATTGAATTTTCAATTATGCGGAGCCGAGTTGGGTTTCGCTCGCTTTGACGTTCACAAACATACCTATCCGTGTATACAGACAGCGTTTCCTTTTAGATATCATGAATGTTTAATGTATTTATTGAAGCGATGACGTCGTGTTAAAATTGCAAATAAATGTCATTGATTTTCTGCCAAGGCTGTACTTTGTGATCTATTATGGAACTGACGGACTGGCAGCAATACATGGCTAATACACGATAATCAACGATTGTTACCATATTTAACGTTTCTGTGGATATAAAATCAATAAGAGGAATGTCGAAATTCACGTCCCACCGTACACAGGTGGAAAGCCATACAATGAACGGCGTCTCGGTTTCAGTCTGTGGATAGTGTATCTTTTAAGATGTTTTGTCTGACGACAATTAAATCTTCTGAAATCCTGAATATGTTTATGTACAAGAATTCATTAATTAGAAAGAATGTTCAACCAATATCAGATGTAGGTAAGATTGCTCATTGTAAAAATAAAACAAATAATAAATTCACAACGCTTCTCTGATTATTTTTAAGATAAATAACATCAAATCTCATAGTTGTTTAACACATTTGAATATTAAGAAAAAAATAATGTCAAAAACACTAATATTTTTGAGAGACGACTTAAAAGATTATCTCTTTATTTTAAAGCAAATGTCAGAGTGTTTCAATGTAAAATTGTAATGGAGTGAGATCACGCTACACTTCAGAGTGGTGAGCACTTTGGCTGTAGCGTTTACGTCAAACATAATATCTTAAAGATTTCTCTTAAGTGTTAGGTTTATTCCAAGCGAGGCTAATAGGTACGAGGTACGATATAAAAAGTAAACTTATTAGTGTATAAAGGAAAAATGTTCTAGTTCCATTATTGGGAACTATCATGCTTATATAAGCTTCGTTATTATTATTAATTTTTAAAACTTCAAAGCTAATAAGTATAATAAAGTACCTCTACTTTGAGAACTTTAAAGCTTTGAGTTTTAAGTTAAAAAATAGCACAAAATGTAGTTTCAATTCTAATTTTGATTTAAGTAAACACTCTAGACTGTGTTCTTTTTTAATTTCCATTTAAATATATTAAGTAATAAAATAGACATGTTTGTATAAAATACTTTATTCTTGTAGTTAACAGGTATTCTATAATATTTACCAACTTAGATCTATAGAGCTAGGCCATTAGTAAATGTGTTAACACATAATGGCGGGGTCACGGCCGAGGTCACTCGAAAGATTGTTAGAGCCCATTCGAATGGAAATAACTGATGGCTTACATTACTATGGAAAGGTCCTTTAACATGAATAATTACACGAGCAAAAGGGGCAGCGAGGGAAGCCTTTTTGAACACCTACGCTTCGCTACAAAGTGCTACGCCGTAGAGTATCTGCATATGTTTGCAAGGAGGAGCTACGCCGTAGGGTATATAGATACATTCGTTGGTACGTAGGTTAAAAATAAGAAATATTTTATATTATTTTACTTACGTGGTGTGAAACAGTCATTTTTGGGGTCTGTATAGTGATCGATTTTATTTACGGTTACTGTACCTGTACGGTACTGTACGGTAACTGATCAGACTTTTGTGTTCTGCACGACCGTTTCTTTATATTTCCAGAAATTGGTATTCGCGCTGTTAGCCACGCTCTTAACTGTAAACTATTTGCTATATTATTATTAAAAAGAGGAATTACCTTTTAGATCGCTGTTAGCAATGTGACTATATAGTTTTTTTTTATATAACACTAATGTATGTATTTGAAATACATCTATGTTTTTTATGCAGAAAATCTAACGTTAGTCGCAACGCTGTAGTCATTGAATTCTTAGTACATTGTGACACGTATTGCTAATGGAAAATTAATCGCCTAACTGAATTTTTACAACGCAAAATGACTAGAATACCCGGTACACATTTCCTTTATACTTCTACGAAATGTCTATTAAGGTTTATTCGTCATCATTTTGTTAAATCCTATTAAAGTTTTTGGAATCAAATAAGCAATATCGGGATAATGAACATACTTAATTATACGAGCATTTAACTTTAACGTGACCGTTAGTAATGTTTTGTATTTTTTTAGAACGCCTACAGAAATTCAATAAGCGCGACAGTTTTTCTTCTGTCGTAAAGAGGTAATTTTTACAATCGAGAAGAAAAAATATAATCTCTTAGAAACGTAGAACGACGGTCTAAAGCGATTAAACTATATGCCCGCTGCAAGGAATTAACGTCAACTCTTCTGATATAAAGTTGACACAAAGTATGCTTGGTTAGAATGAGAAAATGTTTTAAGAATGTAAGGTTAAAAGAACTACATATATAATTTTTAATTATTACTATATAATAGGCAATATAAAATACAGCAAAATATTCTAAGAGCTATATTCAAAATGTTATGTGTACTGTGTGTTACTCATCAATGTTACTTTCACTAAAAAAAAAACACAAAACACGTATAACATACAATTTTACATCTTTAAATTTTGCTGTTCGTAAATAAAGCCATTATTTTAATGTTTTAGAAGCTAAAAATCTATACTCATAATTGTGCTGTTTTATTAGTAAGTAACAAATAGTCGTTTCAGACACATTAACACCAGAACAAACACTGCGAAGAAAAAGCTTAATTTCAGAGTATAACAGAATGTAGGCACGTCTCCATACTAAAAATACTTAAACTCTTTCTTAAACGTCGAATTCAACATTGCTTCAGAACACGTAAAGGTTAGATAGTTTGGTCACTATTTGGATGTGAATTTTCATTCTCATTCGAAAGGCAATCTAGGAGGCTGCATCGTGCTTTGCATACAGCATGGATTATCGGCTTTTTCCACCCGACGACTGAAGAATTTTACTGCAAAGCGTTCGGTGCACGTATTCATTGAATCGCTAGTTCATTGGGCTGGCTAAAAGTTTGTTTGTTAAATAAATACCAAAATGCTATACTGAGAACTTCGCTTAACTGAAATTCATAAATTAAACCTCTTTTAACCGCAACAGTTTTATATATCATATCACATGAAAAACAATTGATAAAACATATATTACACGAGAATATATAATTCTACCGCAATAGGTATATTAAGTACGGTAGAAAAAATTTATAATAATAAATAATGTGAGTTTATTGGTGTACCATTTTATTTGGATAGAGCAACTAAACTACAGTCTATTCTTCAAACAAACAAAAAAACATAATCTCCTTTCGAAGCTCGTTCAATTTGAAATATTCTTCGAGTAATAACAAAATCATCATGCTGAAACAATGACATCTACCCCAGCAACTGAAAATGAAAGGCTCTCAAATTAAGATAGTTTCCTCCTAATAAATATAAGTTCGTGAGACGGAAAACTAGCTGTAATGGAACAGTGGTACTAACTCTTAAATTCTTTATTAGTTTTATATTAATAATTAATTAATATTAAGAGAGAGACATTAAACATATTTTATTTATTTATTAATTATATCAAAAAAACTTATACATTTTGCGATTATACCTGAGTTACCGCGTCGTCTTCTGTTTATTTTTTTATATTATTCTATATGTATTAGTCACGGGTTCGATTGTTAAATTCCTTCAAGCTTTTGTGTGCATTATTCAGCCAAAAATACATCAAAACGTATTCGATTCAGTATAACATAGTAAAATGACTGGCGATTAAACTTAAATTATCTTAATCGTACTAGTTACATAGCTAATAGCCATAATAACGTAAGTTACATCAGTCTTAACGACGTCAGTCTTGGAATCGTTAGTTCAATTTTACGTTGCGGACTAAAATATATTACTTAGCTTCCTTTCTATGTACTTATTGGCATATATGAAATACCGGAGAGAAGAAAGGATCGCGTGAAAACATTGCTTAATAAAAAGATTAACAGGTACTTTTTTAGTACATGAGAAATTTAAGATTGCCTTATCCTTTATTTTCTTAAATTTGTGTAAAAAAAAGTATAACAATAACGTAATTTAGTAAATTTTCATTTTCTGATGATCTTGTTAGATTTTCTTTCAAGATGTATGTCCCAAAAGTGGAAAAAATTAATGGGAAGGAATGATTATACGTCGAAACAAAGTAAACAGTAACAGCACAGCTAATGCAAGGCGAGTATCCGGGCGTCATGTTCGCGCCATTTCCTGCGACGCCATTACGCGACCTCACGGAAACGGCCGAACTGTAACGATCGGGGGCGGAAATTCGAATTTCACTTGATGTGACGCGAGTGTTATTGCTTTTCGGCGAGGGGTTCTTGAACCGCTTTAATGAATGAATGGACAGAATAATATTACTTCTTTTTATGTAAAAGGCATATAAAGGAACGCAACTTAATGTTCCGTAAAAGTACTTTGGTCACATACAAAAATCTATTCTAGTATTATAAAGCTGAAGAGCTCGTTTTTTTTTAAATGCGCTGAAATCAGGAACTACTAACTACTTTCGAATTGAAAAACTATTTTTTGTGATGGTTAGACCATATATGACTATGACGCTATGACTAATAGGAGCGAAGAAACAATGGAAAATGTGGAAAAAACGAGCAAAATCTTCATCTTCATCCGTTGCGTGCGCTACAAAACCGGTACAAGAACCCAAAAAAATTAAAATGAAATAATACTTCTTAAAATGATGTAAAAAAATAACTATTGCACGCGAACTGGTTCGCGGGGACAGCTAGTAATAAATAAAATTCTTCAGTTTAAAATTCTAAGCCCTAAAACACGAGCACGTTGTAATTATTTATTAATGTTTTTCATCCCTTCTTTTAAATGATAACACTGAAACATATATAAACGAGACGTTGCAAACCCTGTCTAGATTCCTGCACTCAAATCAAACCGTAGACAAAGAAAGTAGCATTTAATAGGTGCAAAAGCCAGTTAAATTTAGTAGCTAGTTCGTACAAAGTTAGAATTACGTTCTAAGGCAGTTCATATGAAATTCTGCCACGGCGCACCTGCACGTAACGAGCCACGCAAATTACCTGCATTTAGAGGAATTAATTGTGTGCATAAGGCTTTAATGGCACACATCTTGAGGTGCAATCAGAATAAGAGCTAACGTTGTTTATTCAGAACGAAAGCAACGTAAACAATGGGCGAATACTCTTAATGGATTCATTCACTGTGAAACTTGCAATAATAAATGGACCGCGAATAGGTTTAGACAATACTTTAGATAAAACAATGGATAAGGTTTTATACCGTCTAAAGTTTACGGGAGTAGTACACGTTTAAATACAACCCTTGAAACGGCTTGACGCAATCTGTTTCGTCGCATTGGTATTCCGCGAAACTAGCCGGGTCGTTGTAGAATTTACTAAAGGTGTCCTCGAGTTTGATAAGAACCGGCATAACAAATAATAATAATTTGTAGAAAAGTTTAACTAATATATTACCGGTCTTAAACCGTTAAAATGTTTTATATGATAAGATTTTACCGTTACCGTTTTGGTAGATTTGATTATTTTTATATCGATAGCTCTTGGTTGCTAAGCTTAACTAAAAGAACAAAACCATCACAATAATTTCACGCATCTTAAATACTTAGAGGTATCAATTGTTTAAACCTATTTCCCGTATATTTAGGTAAGTCTAGGAAGAAGCTGGATAGAACTTTAATAAATTGCTAAAGTACGATACACCTACAGAGGAGGTGTAGTTTTTAAGTCTATTATGCGATATCAAGCTGCCGACAGCCTTCTTACAAGAAATGTTAATCTAAAGCAAAAGTTACGAACTAAAAAGAAAACTTGAAGATAAAAGGGAACTTGTTTTCAAAGGGAGAAGTTTGTTAGGTATACAGCATGATAAATAGAAGCTTAATAAAAAAATAGCATTGTAAAACGAATATTATATATGTATATATATATATACATTTAAATAAAACACTTTAACGGTTTAAAACGCGATATATTAGTTAAACTTATTTTAAAATGATTTGCCGGACAGCAGCCGAAACGTCGGGCCGAAGTTAAAAATCATTTTCAAATAAGTTTAACTAATATATCGCGTTTTAAACCGTTAAAGTGTTTTATTTAAATGTGTCTACTCGCGTAAACTATTTTATTAAAAAAGACAGTATTTTATATATGTATACTATATATGTCTACTTGCTGACCTGTCAGACGTTATTTTGCCACATGAAGTGTTTCGAATTTGATTCCCAAAACAGTTCTTGTGAGTTGATCTTAAAAGACATATATCGTGGACATTTTTCTAGATAATTTAAGAAACTTTTCCTACTGTTTCTTCGCTCGTATTCTTCCTCGATAAATGTTTTAACCAGCACGAACATGAAATATTGTATTATTATAGTTACTAAGATTAGTGCGCTCAAACAAACAAATTAACAAACTCTGCAGGTTTATAACATTAGTATAGACGTAAGTTGAATGGTTATTTATATATTTTAGTTTTTATATGTTGTTATTTCGCTACATCTTAATTAGTTGATGAAAGATACCTTGGAAATCTCTTACAACACTGTAAACCCAGTGATATGCTTTTCCAAAATATACACAATTTAACGGATAAAAACGTAACCCACGCTGTGAATATACAATTTCGAATATGCCTAAAAGCTCTGAACTACACTTAAGGTACAAACCTCGTTCGCAAAATGCACCCTCATAGTCCCCGTCTCGGCATTCGCAGATGGGGCCGTCATCAGTACTGATGCACACACCCCCATGTTGGCAAGGGTCCCGACGTTCACACGCGTCACCACTTGCGTTTATTCTTGAGGACTGTAACAAGACATGCTTTTGTTATACACTTGCTTGTTTATTCTACACCAAACTACATTTTCAACAAAATCTTTTAGACTCATTTGTCTAATAGAACTAATGCTATGCAGCAGGGTCGTGATTTCGATCCCTAACGTATCCGACATGTTTTTAATCATTTTTTTTTTGTAACCTAGATATTAAATGGGTGGTAGGAATATCAAAATTCATGAACCGCCGCTTACAGATAAAGAAGTGGTGAAGTTTAGTCGGTGGATTACCAAATATCCGAAGCTAAAATAAGATAACAGCACATCTTGTTGATAACCCCATGCCTGTTTGTCCTCCTTTATCGTTAAAAAAAAACAAAGAGACGAGTCACTTCATACATTTAAATATACTTATAATTATAAAAACATGTCTATTGCTAATAATTACTAAAAAGTCAAATAAATAAATAAATGATGCCTCCTTCTTAACGATTTATATATTTTTTTATACTGAGAAAAAGATCTTGTTGAGAATAACAAAGGAAATTTAAGCTTTTGTTATAAGTACCACGATGGATTGGTCATAAATAATTCAGGCTTGTATATCGATAGAAAGAAGGTTAGGCTAGATAAACTGGTACACGTATAAATTTATTAAAACATAATTTGTACACTTAGTATGCATACTTCTTGAGAGAATTATTAATAACTCAAACAATAACCCTATAAATTGTAACTGACAAACATGATACCAAATATAACTATTTCGGTATTCTCGTACTACTCCCATTCCCGAGGATTATATATCGATGTAAAAATAAAATTTTCTAGAAAAGCCGACATTGACAGATATTCACGGTCGCCGCGTGTTCTCCATCCCCTTGTTTACCATCTTAAGATATTAAAAAGCGCAACACTTTCCCTTTTTCTCGAGAACAGCTACTAATCTCTAATTTTTTATTTTTTATGAATTATTTTATTGTTTTTTAAAAAGAATTGTACAAACTTATAAGATTTACTGAACATTGTCCTCATTAGAGTATAGTTGCGTTACTTTATTTGTATGGCCAAATTTTTATTAGATATAATAAAAATACCTTTTATCTTAAGCTTCTTAGCTGACTGCCACTAATTTCTTTTAATAAAAATAAGAAAACTGAGCTATTTAAATTCCCCAATTATTGACAATATAAAAACAGAAAAGGGTTCTCAAATATAACTTATAAAAACTGCCATTTAAAACCGTTTCTTACAGTCGAACGAGGCCTGAAAAACAGGTTTATCGTTAACAATGTCAGGTCACGAATTTTCCTACATAGCATGATCCATTAAAGTATTTGACGCTCGCGATCCACATCATGCGACTATTGTTCCGCGCTAAAACACACAATCAGGGTCAAAATGACCCCTAACCTTTTATATTCTTTGAAGAGTTTTATCAAAATATTTTCTCTTTTATCAATACATTTTGCAGCCACAATAGGTACTAAAGCGTAAGGTGTATTAAAAAATGTTCGTAATAGTAAGTATATTAATTATATGCCCTTTCTAATAGTAAATTCCTAAATTGTATATAATGTTATAACTAATATGGCACATCAAATGTAAAATGAAAACATTGATCCGTATATTTTTGCACAAACTCGCACAACTTAGGCAATTAGATTGTAGAAGTAATTTAATTATTATAAAATAAAATGTCATCAAAATTGCTCTAAAGTTTGCCCTTCGATATAAAAAAAACCAATTACGTTACGCAGATTCGAAATTTACCATCGCCCACGCTAAAACTCGTAGCACTGCTACGCGCTGCGATCCCGTAGGCGTTACGTAGGCGTTGTACCCACGAAGCTTTTAAAGGCAAATACGTTATTTCGACACCAATATTTATACTTACATATATTACGAAAAGAACATGATTATAATTATCATATAAAAAAAGAAAAATGTCAAATTGTTGGTTATTTTTGTTTTAGTAAGAATCTTATAGGCATTTTGTTTCGCGTCAGTTACATTCCAACGAAAACATGCCAAAGTCGGTCATTGAAGGCGGATTAAAAAATGTCTGCACGTCGATGACATGTTCTATATTGCATAACGCGAGAAAATATGTATTCTGTAATTTGCACGAGTAGTACCTACACACTTAAATAAAACACACTATGGTTTACACCACGATATTGGTAAAGTTTACAAATTACAATTAAATTAACAAAAAAAGAACTGAAAATTACAAAATAAATACTGCCTATAGTTTTGTTACATTTAAATAAAACATTTTAACTTTAGGTAAATTACAAAATGTTTTTGTAAATCAGGTTTACCCATACATTTCGCATTTTACGCCGTTAAGTATATTATTAAAACATCACAAGCGTTTTTAGTTTTGAAGTATATAAATATGAAACGTTTTATGTCATTTTTTGTTTCTTTAAATCTACTTATAGCAACATTACACATCTTTCAGAATCCGACCCTTTCGCGTACCTTACAACGACCAACAATGGACGCTGCAAAGCGTCTCAAAATTGAGCACAGACCGTCTCGAATCTCAAGGCTTAGCTGTTTTATCTAAACAAGCAGACATGAACTCAATACAATGACACATTCCACTGACACACTTGTGAAATAGTTCGTCGTGTCCTAAAATGCTTTTATTTGAGAGCCTTTCGACCTATTTATCAAGGCAGCCTCACCGGCCAAATTGTATTGTGTCATGACAAATTTGTAATAAAATGTGCATGTCAACATTACTATCATGTACTATAACAACTGAAAGTCATTGTGATGGAGACTTTTTATTTATTTAAATGTACATTTTGCACTTAAAATAAACTACAAATAGAATTGATAAAATGTATTAATTATTGTACGTCTGTGGATTTGACAATTCTCATAACAAAGTTAAAGATTTAAAATATTTTTAGTTACAAGGCTTCTATTAAATTATTTTTTATATTGTAATAATTCTGGTTTTGTTATGTCTGGTTTATATAATAAAGTTTATCTTAACACAGTTCAATGTTCACAGTCATATATGTATAGTCTAACTATAATAAATATTGAATAATAATGCAAATTAAATCGTTCGATTCTAAGCGAACAATCTATCTAGAGCACAATTGGACCTAGTTAAACACCAAAGCTGGGCACATGAATGATGAAACATCCACTTTATAGATGAGTGGCGATGTCAGAGTGTATGTCCCCGAGCCATTAGCGGGAAACGTCAGCTGTTCAACGTTTAACGCTGTTCGCGACTGTGGCATCGTTACAACGCTCATAACTGCGACGATATTTAGACAATAAGAGTTCATTGAATTTGGATAGTAGAATTTAAAACTGGCTGGACACACAAAGTTAAAAATGCTATTTTTTCTTCTGCTTTTTAGAAATATTACAGTGAAAATTATTCACGGGCCAAATTCGTTTTTGCAAACCCCTTATCTTTTTAAACCTAATCTGATCCACGACGTCGATTGCATCCCTTCCCGCGATTCTTGCAAGTTAATCTTAAAATATAGACGTATCGTCGCCGATTTTTTTAGATCATTTAAAAAAATATATATATATATATATACTTTATTATCTTTAAAATTTAAAAAAATATTTAGATTCGTCAAATTTTTTTCGTTTGTTTTTCTGTTCGTCGTGTTTCTACAGAGTGTTCAAAAGAACAACAAAACTGAGAAGAACACCCAAGAAACTCAGTACGGGTTTTTTTTTAATGTGTCTTATATACTAATACACTTTTATAAATTTATTAACAGGAGCAGTCCATATTACTGCCAGGCGGTCTTGTCATTAAAGAAATTGTTCAGACAATAATACGCCTATTGAGACAATCTAAATTTTATAACTTTCTTAAATTTATTTATCGATAAATTTGAAATCTCGACTGGCAATGTATTATACATACGAATAAGAAGCGGAAATAATCATTCTTTCATACATAGTTTTGGGTATCTTGAACCGTTTACACAGCGCAAGCAACGAAAACGCTAAAAGGTGAATAATTTCTCCCGTTTCTTTCACATTTCCCACTGTATCTTCACTCTTAGTAGTCGCATCGTAATGATTTATAGCTTAAACCCTTCCTCGATAAATTTTCTAATCAACACAAAAAAAAATTGGTATTTTTATTTTTCAATTCGAACCCGTAGTTTCTGAGATTAGCGCGTTCAAACATATAAACAAACAAAGAACTCTTAAGCTTTACATATTAGGATAGATAAGACTGGTTTTATGAAACTGGTTGAATTTCTGAGATCGGCATATTAGAACAAAAAATCTATTTATTGATTAGTACATATTTTTCTCCACTTGCTTCTATTATGAAGAAATTACATTTTTTATTTTTTGAAGTCCTCACAGAGTTATTATGTATTCTAGATAAAGTTCAAGTAATTCCGGATATGTTCTCGTATGAGAATTTTCAATATTTATTTTCTTCAGCTACTTCATTCTTACTACTTCCGTAAAAGGCAAGCAAACATACATTTCGCATACATAATTATTATATCATATAAGTACTAACGATTTTTAAATTATTCTATGAAAATGTTTGCTGTTATAATAAAATATATTTTGATAACCATTCAAATTTAGCTATTCTTAATTAAAATTATTTATAACAAGGTTAAAATAGCGTTAACAGGCGCCTTTTGAAGTTTTATTGTCTTAAAGGCTTTGAAGGCTTCATTATAGAAATTTCCAATTACATGCCATAAAGTATTAAAAATTTAGAGTATTACATATTAATTTTTGTCTTGACTTTATGGGCTCAAAAAAAAGGACAAAAATGGTGTTCAACGTTTTTGTTGAGGGATTGGTTGATTTGTGCTAACTCCTCCGAAATGCTTGAACCGATTTAAGTGAAATTTCGCACACACTCACAATAAATATCTTTTCCACTAGTAATACTATATAGAATTCATTTATATGGAAAAACAAGGTTTGTCTAGTTCAAAAAAAATAATTTGGTTTGGTAAACTTTTATATTTGATTGATATAAATAACCCTTTATTACATTCTTTAATGCTTTTAATATATTTTCAAGTTCTAACGTAATATGGAAAGGCAATTTAATATTATAGCAAGTAAACGCTTGCTAAAGCCATTTTAAAATCTTGAAGTGTGTCAATATGTAAAGGCTTTGTAGGAGTTATAAAGGCAAGGCAAAAATAATGGCGCACGTCACTCCGCTCATTGGAAATTCAATATCGTCGAGGCTCGCTGATGGGGAAAACATATCTCTTAAATTAGGTTTTTTATTCGTTTAGGAGCGCTTTCAAGATTTATACATCTACTTTGTTTATTAGCCTTGGAAGACATCGCAATGAATTTCTTCATAAATTCACATTAAACTATAACTATTCTTACTACTTCAAGTTGTACTTGTTGGGTTTTCTAGGTAAGAAGATTATTAAACGTGTAAGACTATAGTCTAGGCATTAATTTGAAGGTAGAAAGATGAAAAGTTCGTTTATACACCATATATCTAATATACTGTTGTGGCTTCATTTTTAATTAGTTATTTAGTTTAAATTGCTCTAAGTATACAGTGCATTTTTTTCAAATTAAGAACGTGAAGAACATGAAAGACGCACTGTACTTATTTTTATGGCCTCAAAGAGTAAATTACCACCATCAAATGTGATTATAACGAGATAATTAATGCAAATACAGCTAAAATCCTTACCGCGGAGATTGAGCCGCAACATTGCGACGCCACTAAAGCAGAATAGAAGCTACACAAAGTAGCGACTAGCGATGTAGATTGAAAACCCAATTTTTGCCATTAAAATTTAAACGATTTTAGTGGGAAGTTCACAAAACAAGACTTTAATTGGGAATAATAACATTATATTAATTCCTGGTTGTACATTTTACTAACATTTTCTAATTATACGACATCATTAAGGCATGCCTTTGATTGTTAGATAAATTATTCTTTGTTACTTTACAACCGTTGTGAACTGAAACACAAATGTTTCGGTTCTTTTGATTGAATCGAACCCGAATCCATTCTATTACAATTCAAATCTGCGGTGTCGTATTAAATTTATGAAAACAGACTCGGCTACGGAGAAGTTCTAAAGTTTTTACATCAATTGTCTGATATCACTTAGCCTAACCACTTCTACTAATAGCGTAGTACCACAACTGGATTTAGAACTTACGATAGAGTAAATTACAATATTAAGAAGATATTCTTTTGTTAAATAAAGTTGCAAAAACACGGGCTGAAAGTGTAGAACAAACATTGAATAACCCGAGTTAATCTCTCAACAAAGGCCCACCTTTCTGAGATTGAAATTGATCGGAGTTGCTTAATTAATAAAAACCATGAGCCGAGCTTTTTTGAAGGCAAAAGGTGTTTTAATTAAAATACGAGTGATTTTATGCTTGGAGCTTTGATAACTTTATAAGGCTGTAAACTCACTGAAATAGAGATAAAGTAAAGAAAAAATAATATATATTATAGTTTATTACGAATACTATTGCTCAATAATTTACAAGTTGTGTTGTCCGTTATAAAGAGAGCTAGTGTGCAGCCAATATACTCGTATACCACAAGAAGTTGCCGGTTCCACTCTTGGGTAAGAAATTCATATATCTACCAAATCTCCCTGGGTGGGCGAACCTAATCATTATTTTTATTTTAGTCCCTGTTTCTTAAAATAAATGAGCCCTTCGCATTATTCTAAAAAAGGTTCAATATGTCTGAGATAAGGGTCATAGATTGCTAAATTGACCCTTAAAAAGATGTCCGGTTCAGGTAATAGCGTTTTAATGGACCTTCAGCCCTTAACAAATTCGAAGTAAGTAGTTGACAAGCGAGTCACGTACGACTACCGTGTTTCTAGTAATGCTATAGTCTACACAGTAATGTCTTAAAGTAAATATCATAGAGCTAACAAATTTTATATAAAATATAAAAAATAATTGGATTCCTAAATAAAGCTTTCCTAAAATATAATGATTTGTTTACGACTAGCAATCCAGCAATTATTTAGATTAGTTAAAAATAGTTACAGGACGGGAACACAAAATTCTGTTACGTATATTCCTAAATAAAACTGATAAAACTCCTGAAACTCGTCAGCGAAATTAAGTAAGGCTACAAAATGTCAGTAATTTATCGGAAAAAACACAGATCAGTTTCCTTTTGACCGGGTTCCTGTCCTATTGAATTTAGGCGACCGTAAAAAGTATTACATCTGGCTGAAGTGAAACAGGTAGGATTAATGTCTAGGAAGGATTCGGTTCATTGATTTGAAATTAATGGAAACATTAGTTTGAAAGGTTTCTTATATTTAGCCGTAAGATGTTTTTCGAAATGAAAGACATTAGATATATAATAAGATTGAACTAAATGTATGTTATACTACAGTCAAGTCAAGAACAAGTGTTAGGCATATATATTTTTTGTCCATTTTTATGACTGACTCTGTCTGCGCACTATATAAGAATACTAATACAAATTTAATTATTACGTGGTTTCGATCCCTACCGGGTGCAATATTTTTCTTATGAATTTATTATTTTTCTGAAACAAGTTGCCTTCATCTGGAAATTTGGATATTAAATGGTTGTTAGGAAAAGATTCGTACGCATCACAACTTGCCAAGATGTTATATGGCGAAGGTAATTCCACCTACCATTAAGTGAGCCCCAAACCTGTTCGTCTTCCTCTATAATTCAGTCTAAGTTATCAAATCATATAAATATTACGTTGCACTTTAAATTAAATTTTATAAATGGGACGTATATCTCACCAAATAATATCTAAACTATTCTGGAGCAAAACTCGGAACTCAAACTCAATAGCGCTTTGTGTACGAACACAACGAGAAACATTTGGGAAACGCATTCACAAACATTAATAGCTAAGCCAGGATATAAATATAATTAATGCTAGAGTAAGCTTTATTCTATTGAGATATTGTAGCGTCGTCCCATTTACAAACCGAGCCACGTTCTCTGAATAAATCTGACGGAATGACATTAGGAAACTTTGCAAGCTTATATTCTTTTGGTGCTTTTTTACTTTCAGCAATTCAGTTACATTATCCTTTTAACTCAGCTTTGTCCCGTTAATGTGGCTTACTGCTTTAGTTTAGACTTTGTTTGAATTATTTTGTCGGCTTTTTTTAACAATTAAAAACCTTTCGAATGCTATGTATTGTGTGTTTAATATTCTCCTTGCTTGTCTTAGATTAAATGTAATCTATAAAATTGATAAACTCTATAAAAAAAATATTAATTAATTTTATATTTACATTTTTTATTCTAATTTTTAATGAATTCCTTAACTAGCGTTGTTTCCATATTTTGAATTCTCTTTGCTACACTATACTTGACGAGCAAAGCAGGTAGAATCTTTAAGAAATAAAACAAATGCGAGGACGTGAATTGTAGAAATTGAAATGGGTCAGTTGAAAATAAATTGGGTTTCGAGACGGCCGCGGCAGGTCGAGCCGAAATAGCGAACAGACTAACCTTTACAGATTCAGACTTCGCCTTCTAATCTTATTTGAGGAATTCGAGATTAAGAAGCAGAAATATACCAAATAGTAAAGAAAGGAAAGAAGAAGATATCTTAGAAGATATACCTAAATTTGTTTAATTTTAAATGGCAAACTCTAAGTAGGAGCTAATGTTACAGCAAGTATAGTGTATAAAACATGATAGCAATTTTGTATGGAAAAATTAAAATGTAAAGGAAAGTTTAATGTGTATCTGTGTGCGAATTTTTATATAGATTGTAAATATAGGTTAAAATATAATAGATAAGCATTTACCTCCAGAACTTATAAAAATTAATGAATTTTATCAAATTATTGTTAGAAAAATTTACCTTTTCGTTATTTTTTTTTCTTCAATATAATACTTTGTTTTTTAATTTGTTTTATAACTTTGACACTACTTTACTTCTACTGTACATCATTTTAATAGCGTTTTTTATAATTTTAAACTATAATATGACTCCAGACATTTTTTGTAATTCTAAAGAAAACTTCTCCAAGAAGCTTTGACTTCACCTTTACTAAAGTGGATCTCAGCGTAACGGTCTCTGAATTTTCAGACAATGGAATAACCTCATTATCATTTTAAAAGAAATTCTCGAATACGTCTGCCGAATGTAAGTAAAAGAGCTTCTTAAAAGTATTGCTGTCCTTCTCAAACTCTAAGTGTTTTGAAGAACAGCACTAAGTACAGGTGAATTACGTTTTAAGGGACCTAATTCATAGTATTTAGTGCAGTTGAGTAGTCTTATAATTGTGTAATGTATGCTACTCGCGTCAACGATAATGTATAGTAATAATAATCGTTTGCTTAGAGCAACCTATGCAAAAGTTGGTTAGATAGTATATTGTATTTTCTCATATATAACATCCATTCAGTTAACAATACAATATTTCATTTACACGATTTAAAACGTGATATGTATTAGTTAGATTATTTTTAACTTCGGCCCGACGTTTCAAATGTTTTGCAGGAGCCGTGGTCACGGGGAGATGAAGTTAAAATTAATTTTGAAATAAGTTTAACTAATATAGTATATTGCGTTTTAAACCGTTAAAGTGTTTTATTTAAATGTCCACTACTCGCGTAAACTACGTCTTTTTTATTAGATTGGGAACTTAATTTTTGTTGTCCTACGCTGTAAATATTTTTTACTTACTTTATGATATACGTTGACAGACGTCCTTCACTCGATGGACGCTGAAATGACCCCATAAAGTATCACAAGATGCGCTATCGAACAATTTTGTCTTTGAATATTAGAAAGACAAACATTGCGCATGTCGATTTTATATAAAAAGTGTTTGGTTTTACAAAATGATCGACAACTAAACGTTGAAACTACTCCACCATCTGTTACAATCTCCTTTGAAAGGTATGCTTATACAAACATATTATACCTATATTAATCTTAATATTGTATAACCACCGACACCAGTCTTGTAATCCACATTACCTTTAAATCTCTCGAATGCCTGAGCTCCTGCCTACGCGGTGGCTGTCCAGGGAGATCTGAATAGACGAGATTCCTCACAGCACCGCGGAACTTGGGCTCGAAAATCACTGACGGCAGCGCCAGGGTCGACAACTTAGAATTGTATCTGAAACAAATATTAAGAGCTTTAAGAAACTATATTTTTAAAGAACTTCTAATTATAGTAGAATACAGTTTTTGTATTTTTATTTGCGTTTTGATTAAACACAAGCGAGATGTAACCTAGTAAGTGTTCTTACAGATAAAACTAAAATATATATAACTACAATATAGTTTAATTGAATTGTATATTTTATGTTAGTTTTTAAATTCAGTGTTGAATTGGCTATTGGGGAATTGGAATTTTCACGACATTGTAATTTTAATGATTTCGATAAGTATTTAAAATATACCCAGTAAATTCAATACAGCGACAGTAATCTATAACGCAACCGACCCTTCGTGGCTGCTCTTGACTCTAAACAGAACTAAATTGCTTCAAGACTAGAGCCAGACTATCCGATGAGCACGAGACGTGACGTGGTAAAAATCTCTATCCTGACGTTTTTTCAAAATAACGAGTAGTCAATAACCGTCTGTCATCTTTCAATTACAGTTGATTATTAACAAGTGTTTTATTTAATTACTTTTATTTATATTCACTACGTTAATTGTTAATTAATTAGAGAGCTGTTTTACTTTTGATTTCTCAAGCCTTTTCTTCAACTAATGGTCCGTTGCTATCCAATTGGAAATAGAAACCTCGCGTACCTCTTTGCCGTCACCGTTTCGCTTCGCTACTTTTTAAATAGAACTTTTAAGTCGTCCTTAACATTGCAATACCAATGCAAACGGATTTCGTTTTGCCGTCAGACAGCGAAGTTTAAGTACGCGTTCGATTGTTGACAACGTTAAGAGAACTTCTCTTTAAATATTACTAAGTATCTTTTACCAACTTCTTTGTCGGTTAATTAGTTTAAAAATAACAAGAGAGAAAAGAAAGGAGGAGCAATAAGGAAGGACAAATAAACAAACGTTTAAATAAATGACTTTTAAACCGAATTCGATGTTTTCAAATCGAATTTTATAATTCTAAAAAATACGACGAAGTTTAAATATCACACTTTAACGGTTTAAAACGCGATATATTAGCAAATATGTTACTATATATTAACTAATCTATCGGGTTTTAAACCGTTAGTGTTTTATTTAAACGACGAAGTTGTCAAGTGTGTTTGTCTGTGGAATTCAGACAAACACACTTGACAGATCAAATCTAAAGAAGATTAATACCACATCTTGTTTAAATATCATGTGACTGAGGGTTTTAACATTTCATTACATGAATCCCTTGCTGATCTGTCCTCCTTTCATAGTGCAAGTGCAGTTGTTATTTCCTAAGGCGACAGAATATCGTTATTTATTTCTAACCTTAGAAAAAACGGCTTTCTACTATCTAAGTTATACTCGCAATGAAAAACCGCAAGCGAGCGAGACAGACAATTTATCAGCCGTCCCTTTCTGTTAGCAGAGCGACAATATATCTTGGACTTGACATCGTAACCGATGTAATTTGAAATTGCTTTCAGGTTGAGATTAGACACTTTTTATGGCGTTTAATAACTTTCTTGTTGGGAGATGATAACGGTTGGAGTTTGTTGGTCATCGACAAACATTTTAATTCTTATTCAATATAATCACTAGTTACGCCCCGCTGTTGCTTTATGCTTGTTTATAATAGAGGAGAAAAATACTGTAAAAATGTACTGTCGATCTACTTTGATTTTGAATTTTTTGGGAAATTCATACACTGAAAAGCGATTTATACTTCATGGCTTTTGCATCTGTTGACTCTAGGTGTAGTTATTTCCAGACGCAGTCCAACATGTCTCAGAAAAATTACAAATGGCTTAGAAAAATTACAAATGGCTTAGAAAAATTACAAATGGCTTAGAAAAATGGTGAACCCGGTACGGATCGAATCCACGACCCGTTGATTATTAGCCACTACAACTAACACACAATATTTCCTCTAAACTGGTAAATAAATTGGGCTTGATAATTAATAATAGTCGTCTATCCTAATATTAGTTAGCATTTTTACATAATTTGATGTAAAAAAAAACACACACGTGTTAAACGTGTAATGTATTATAGTTAAACTTAATTAAAATTTATTGTAATTACAGCCCGACGTTCAACAAGCCCCTCCCTCCTCGTATCGTAAACAATTGGCCTTAGTAAAAATTAATTGTCGATAAATTTAACTAATACATTGCGCTTATTAAACCATTGAACGTGTTTTATTTAAATGTGTACTATTCGCAAACAGTATTGAAACTGATCTTGATATAAACTTGTGTAAAATGTATTTTTACATGCATCGTCGCGACAGCTAGTAGTTGGTAATACTCAATTGAAAGAAAAAAACATAGAGCTACGTTATAAATCTCAATTTAAATAGTTTAATATAGAGGTGCCTTCAAAACGTATTTGTTAGTCTCGGAGAAACCGAGTTGCAAATTTTCTAAATTACCTTTTCAATATATATACTATTACAAAACCACCGACCTCCTCCGTAGTTGAATGGTTAAAGTCACAGTTCCGGAGTTCGAAATCTGAAAAAACGATAATATTCCGGCCGGGCGAGGCACAGAAGTGTGATCAATTAACTTCCCTGTAAATAACATTTCTGCCCTTTGCCCCCCAGGGGGAGGAACGAGATGTCGACGAGGGCCTTTATTAATACTAAGCAAACAGAGCTTAAGTTGTATAGCTTACTCTAATTTAATTTTGACCCCCTCAAGTGCCTCGGGCTATTCCAGATAAATTTCTTGAGAAGTTGCCAACTAGCCATCGATATAATACGATAATATTGTTAGTCGCGACTTTATCTGTCTCTGAATTATGATGACGTCTCGCTATCGCCAAGGGCTCCGGGCAAGTAGTCGTAAATGTTTTCAAGTTTCAATTAAATTATTGCTTTTCTCAAGAACTGCTATATAATAATTATAAGAGTTGAGAGTTGCGAGAACATTCTGACTTTAATTTAAAAACAAAGTAATTGTTTATATAATAAATTAATCTTAATTGAGGCTTGTCGGTCTAGTGTATGGCTAATAATCAACGGGCCGTTGTTTTGATCCCCAACGGGTCTAATATGTTTGTAGTAAATTTATAACCTTTCTGAATCTTGGATATTAATGGGGTAGGTATATCAAAACTATATTCTGGTCACGAACCACCGTTCACAGATGATAAAGCCTCGGAGCTCAATCGCGTTTCGGTTTCAACCTATGAATTCCTGAATATCTAAAGCCGAAACAGGTCGACAGCGCATCATGTCAAGATGTTATATGACTAAAGTATTTTACCTCCATTGAGCGAACCTCGTGCTTGTCTTTTCTACTCTAACATATAAAAAAATGTATCGGTTTGATATTTAAATTATTTTATATTATTTATAAAGAAATTGTATATCGCCCACTATGAACGTACTAATGTTTTCACTTATTTTCTCGTATTGTTATTATAAAAGTGTAAAGTGCACAATCGTAATGAACTAAAATTGGCTACTTAGGCACGTAGCTCGAGGATCAAGTTCCACTGAAAGAAGCAATTTGCCTCTGTTCACGGCCGGACTGCCTCACAAAGATTCAATAAGCTAAGTGCAGTCCTTTCGCAATTCTATTATAGCAGTTGTCTTCGCCAGTTGAGGTTTTAAACAATGAACACAATTTGATGTTGTACACTGTACTTTTAATTTAATTGTGACTATATTTTTAATACTGTCTATAGTTTACGCGAGTACACATTTAAATAAAACACTTTATCGGTTTAAAACGAACCTCCGCACTTTCAATAGGGAGGACGGTCGCAAATTACCAAACACCTGGGATCCCATATTAAAAACTCTGGATCCCAATAAACAGCATACCGGCAAACGCGAAGACACCATTAGTAAATTCTGCAAGGACCCGGCCAGTTTCGCCAACTCCGACGGAACAGATGGCGCTAGCGTAGCATTTATTTACTCTGACTCAGAGACATCCTCCATCTTTAGTCTCCCCGTGACCACATGCTGCAAAACATCCGAAACGTCGGGCCGAAGGTAAAAATCGTTTTCAAATAAGTTTAACTAATATATCGCGTTTTAAACCGTTATAGTGTTTTATTTAAATATATTTTTAACGTTTTGTCTCGTAAAAATCCCATAGTAAAGGTGATGTGTTATCGCCATTGTCAAATAACTCGAATATGAATTTAGAGAAACATTATAAAGCGTTTAATCGTGCACGATACTGATTTCCAAATGCATAATAAGGTCGTTTAGAAGTTATATGACGAGGACCTTATTTACCTTCCATGAACTGAACTTAATGTGCTTGCTTGTTCTCCATAGTCTTCAAATCATCTTTCCAGATGTACGAAAGATGTTAAGTTATTACGAAAAAAGCTAATCTGAAAGTACTTTTTGTTTAACTTTTAATGAAATCGGAATTTAATGACCCGCTTTGTATGAGGTAGCTAAGTTGCATATTACATATTTAGTAATCGCAAGCATAAACAATGTTATGAAATTTAATACGGCTCTCCAGAACCGATGTAAAATCCTTAATCGCTCAGCCAAAAAGCTCTTACTGAAACTTGTCCCTACATCAAAGGATCACAGCGAGGGTTTAAAAACTATCTACGAGACGGCTACGACTGAGCGAATGGCTTTAGCCGCTCGACTACGGCCCAGTATCAATATCGGTAACTGTACAATAGACGATATATATCACACAATCTCCCTCATCCGTCGTGATCGCGTGACCTGGTTCCCGCTTTAGATAAACCCAGGGCTCGACTGGAAGCGAGCGGCCCACTCTGGGCAGTTGGAACTTAGGCCATGCTTTGATAGCGTTTAACTAAAGACGGCGAAGTGATTGTACGGCTACGTTTAGTAGGCTTTAATTCTAGGTTTCTAACAGATCTTTAGAGCGCTGTTTATCTTTAAATTATCTGTTTCATTGTTCTACATGCCGTACGGAAAATGTCGTTTGAACAATTATGAAATTTTATGAATAATATTATTAAGTTTTGTCTGGTTTACGTGATTAGTACACCGTTAAATAAAACACTTTTAACGATATTAAAACGAAAAAATATACGGCTCGGGTAGGACAGGAAAATTTTTCTTTCAATTTATAATCGATTTTTTATATAGTGCAATATTAAACTTTACGGTTATAACGTCGCGTTTAAAATCTGAAAATCATTATGGCAAAATTATTTATAACGTACATAATAAACGGATTAAAATCTTAATTTGTTAAAGTTTATACGATCAAACAATAACATTATCATTATTTTACTTTCGTTTAATGTAAATTATTTTTCTTAAACAAATGAATTTTAACTTTAAAAACGCACTTTTCTTACTATATACCAAATTGCACTCTAAGATGTGTGTACTTAAATTTTTGAAACCTTTTTAGAACCATGGTCCTTATGAATACATAAAATGATAGGTAACAAGTCATAGAAAACCCAATAGCAAAACATCTCCTACCTAAATGATTTGAGTTATATTTATATAAACACATAATAATGGCGAACAGAATTTTGTTGTAATTATTTTTACGCTTCAACAAATGGAACTCAAGCAGTGAGTGTGTCATTGCTCGTTATCTGATGGTTACCTTAAATCATGAATATTCACGTGTTCTCGTTTTATTTGAATTCGTAAAATCCGAGTTATTAAAAACAGCGCCGTCTATTTTTAAGCTGACCGAATTTTTGTGAAAAAATTAATTAACTGCATAAAACATTTACTTATACAACGACGAAACAAGAATTGTATTTGATATCTGTACTATAATTTTATTTGCCATTTTGTTACTAGGACTATATCGCTAGTACATAATATTATAATCAGCTTTATAATTAAGTTTAGTTAATTAGTTCGACTGAAACTTTGAATTGTATATTTATTGTTTCATATCTGTATTTTGTTCGTTATAAGTGAATGCTACGGTTCGTAGACATTTTATTGAATTCAGATAATTCGTTTATTAAATTTTACGTCATTGTGCGAACACATTTCTGTGTCTGTTTCACTGATCGCTTCTTTTACACTTTACAGACAAGTTGATAAGACTTCTGAGCTCTGGCCGATCGAAACAATATATTGTTTCCCCGGGATTCGGAATCCAGGACCTCTCACTCGCAACGTAATGATAGACAACACGTTTAACAATTTTGCTACAGAAACGTTCAAAAAACTAACACCTATATGTCTTAATGTTGAAGTAATTCCACTTTTTACAATTGACAGGAGTTCAAATTACATTTTCGTTCAATATCGAACGAACGGTATCAATTTATCTGACAATAGCCTAACACGAATGCCGTAAACTCAACGGCCTAGTTATTTATGTACGCTGATGTCGTTACGGGAGGACCGTATTTTATCTGCATTCGGAGATGTGTTTTAGCCAACTTGCGAAATATGCTCTCGATAGAATAAGCGAGAGATGTGTTTTCTGCAGAGATCACTGAATTTTTACTCCATTTCGTTCTTGAAGCTTACCGTCGTAGCGTTAGTAGTAAACGCAAATCATGAACTTTAATATTTTCACACGTTAGCACATGATGGCATTATATGAATTAAAAATCTATTTAGACTAAAAAAAATTACGACACGGGTGGTATAAAGGTGCAAGTATCAAAAATGAAGAGAATCGACGATGACGTGTAGGACACGGTAGCTCAATTGGTTAGAGCAGCAGCAGCAGCAGAACGAAACGCTGTAGGTGCCGGTTCAAGTCCTGCCTGCCAGTATTATTTAATTTTTTGACAAATGCTCTTCAAAAAGTTTGATAAAGTTTTGGGGAAAAATCTATTAGTTAATATTTCGTTATGCATTTACGATCGCCTGTGTAGCTAAATGATCAAATGTGTTGCCTAGCATTGCGTTAAGCGCGAGAGATCCTGGGTTCCAATCCAGGGGAACCAATAGATTGTTTCAGTCAGGCAGGGAATAGAATTCTGATGAACTTCTTATCAGTCAAATTTCGAAGTTTGTCTGATTAAATACTTGCTTGTAAATAGAACGGTGACAGAAATATGTTCGCCCCATGCCCCACAAGGGAAAGCGGAATTTTAAATTTAAACATTTTTATACTATACGTTAGTTTACTTTATATGGGTTGTTTACTTTTAAGCGTAATTTTAGAGCAGGGTCTCAAACCCAAATTTTTCATATTATCGCATTAATTTGTTAACAATATTCGGTGTTGACACGAAAATGCCTTAATGTAGTCAATTGTGGGGCAATGTTTGCGCATAATGAGGGACAAGTACGAGACGAAGCAGAACGGGGCATCTGGGTCAGCCGTCGTAACCTTTCCTTCGTATTGAATGTTAGACGCATAATGTGAAACCGCAGGGCAGATTTTTCAAGTCATTGATTGATTGTCGTGGTTTAAAAATACATGGAACTTTGAAATTTGTTATTATTACTGATTAGATGTCTTTTCTTTTTACACTCTATGAATTTTTGAATATCCAAATGTTTAGAATATAATGTTAAAATACATGAACACTACGAGATCCTTGATTTGCGGGCGCTGCTGTAATGGAAGGTGGTTAATAACCAACGGGTCATGAGTTCCATTTCCACCGGGTCCAACATTTTTCTACTGGAAATCCAAAGACCGAAACCGACACGCGATTCATCTTAATGGCTTTTTCATGAGTAGGCGGTGGTTTGTGATCCGAATTATTTTTATATTTCTACCATTGATTTAATATCCAGATTTCCAGACGAAGGCCATGTTTCAAAAACATATATAAATCGATCGGAAATATGTTGGACCCGGATCGAACCCACGACCCATGTTGCTTATTACCCATACATTACACCGAGTCCGTCAAAACATTCCCTTCTCAAAACATTATTTTCACAAAAGACGAACAATACAAAGCTCAACCGCGTAGTTGATCCCATTTTATCAAAAACAGAGTATTTAGTGGCAAACATAAATGTCAGAACTTTCCCAATATCAAACCGGTTTAATCCAGTTATTTAAAGTTCGTGAAAGATTAGTCACGCGGGAGCGGTTTGAGAAAAAATGCTGTTTGTGTTAATGACACCATAATTCATAGGCACCGTCTTGTTTCAGTTTTGCGAGCAAGTATTAAGAAATGGCGGGCTTACTTAAATTAAAATAATTGTTTTTTATGCTCAAAATTTAAGGCGTTAGCGATCATCTTTCAGTTTGTACTTTTTTGCCGGTTTACATCATCGTATTGGCTTAGAAAACATATCAAATTTTTGCTTGAAGTCTGTAGGACGCAACGGTCAAAATATATACAACGGTGAATTAAAGACAACACTCTTACCAGTTTCATACAACAGAGTATCAATTCTTATCTTATGCACGACCCGACGGTATCGGAGCGTCCACAATATCTAACTTATATATGCTACACTAACGCCTGTAATGTGCAAAGCAACCTACAACTCCATACAACACAATCTTAAGAATCGATCTAAACTCACAATTGAAAGAACACAGTAAGACCAACAGAATCTTCCGCTTTCAATAAACATATGCCTAGCATATAATAATAAAAATAGTGTAAAATCTCGCTAGACGCCCGTGCCTTGCACTACCACCAATTTAAAGAGACTCAATTAAGATTCCTGAGACGCTGCTATCCCGTTTTTATTAGGGTAATTTTACCAAAATGGCAACTTTCAGAGCATCTTCCTAGATTAGGTTTTTAGAGCGTCGTTTCTATTGGAAATTCCTTATTAGATCGACTGACGGTTAACCTAAATGACTAGATGCAAGCGCTCATATTAAAAGTGCACGCGAATAGTCTACATTATAATTGAAACGAAATTAAACGCGATATGGGTCATCGGACCTTTGTATCCATTTTTAGTGAACCTAGAAATACGAAACGTGTTTACCATATTTTCTGCTTATATAATTATGTAAATTTGTGTAACATTTTGTGTATTGCGTAAATATTATAAAGCTGGATAATTTGTTTGTTTGAACGCATTAATCTCAGAAACAACTGGTTTGAATTGAAAAATCCCATCTGTGTTTTATAGACCATTTATCGAAAAAGACTTTAGGCTATATAATTACGCTTTGATTTAGGAGATTAGATATAGTGTAAAATGTGGAAAAAATCTATGAGGGCTTCCGTTGCATTCTCTGCGGAAACAGTAAAAAAAAAATATAAGAAAGAATGATTACTCTTTAAATGATCCAAAAAAAATGTCCGCGAAAGTATACATATACCTATCTTTTAAGATTAACCCGCAAAAACGACAGAACACAGACGACATCGTGGGTGACAGCCTACAACAATAAAGACAGACAAACTTAGTCATACTTAAGAGCGGAGAGAAGTAGTTATAAAACCAAACTCAGTGCAAATGATTTCTTAGAAGCCCGTAGATCGTGCAGCGGCTGCAGGGCTGTCACCGGTCACTTTTCTCCGTCTCAACACGCACTATAAATATTAATAAGGCCTACATATTTATGGTCTGCGAGTGCCACTCCTCTTGGTCTAATTCAATTTTGCAACCCTCAATCTCGTTGGGTTTTTCAGGACCCTATACTGCTATTTTATATGCCTTAATCATGAGAGTTTTTACGTACTTTTCCGATTGTGTTTTTTCATCTACAAACACATACATGCTCTACTTTTTGCCATATTAAACGCTGCTTTGAAAATATATGACGCAATGTGACCGAAATAATAAAAAAAAATTTGAGAGCCGAAATGATTTTAATTAGTTAACTCATTATTTTATAATTTTAAACTATTCAGTTATTTACTTAGCACCAACTAGTGTATTAACAATATCCACTAATTACACTCAATATTATGAAATACACTATAACTAAAAACAGTATTAAATAAATATGTAGCGACCATTTTCTTTAAATCTTCCTTCGCACAAAAAAATACGGTTAAATTGAGAAAACTCTTCCTTTTTTACTAAGTCGGTTGAACCTATAGCATTAATTGTATTTTTTACGGAATGTGATTAGTCGAAAAGGTAGAAAGTAACGCGAACACACTAGAATGAAAAAAAATCAGAATCGACAACATATCATATAGCATACAATATAGAAATACTCAAACCAAAAAGTGGTGTAAAGTTCCTGATACTGCAGAAGCAATAACGAGTTGTATTCAATACACCAATACAAATATACAGCACAACCGTCTATAGGGCTGATACTGTACAACTGTACACTTCATACAACATGAAAAACCGCAGCCATATGACATCTAAGGCAGAATACGCTGTCTCGCTGAGCTTTTTTGGCTTTGGACATTTGGAAGTACACTGACTGAAACCGAAACGTAATTAAACTTTACGTTTTTTTTTATATCTGTGAATGGTGATTAAGGCCCTGGACAGAGTTTTATATATATGCAGTTTTGTAGACGAGATCCGATCTTAAAAAAAAAAACTAGATTAAATGAAGTGTCATTATGGGTATGAAAAAACACGTACCTTGAGTGAATTCTAATAACATCATAAATTACTTTCTGTCATCGTTGATTCAGTGTAATTCAAAAATGACGTGTTATTTTTCGTTGTTATATAAAATGTTGTCTGAATAACATGTTTTCAGGAATGCTTCAGATATATTCTCAATATATGTATTTCGATGTGCCAACCCTATTGGCGACCCAGTTGGTGGAAAACCTATAAGAGACGTGTTCTTTATACGATCACGTTATATTTCCATGTTTTTGTACACGGTTTCGATTCCAAAATATTTCCGGTTATATTTCACGAATAACAAAAATACATACGTAAATAATACTCCTATTTATTCTACTACATAAA